ATTTTGAAAATTTAGAAATAGAAGAGCGCTTTCTCGAGTGATTCACTTTATCCGTTATTTAGATTTGTTAAGATTTCTGCATTTCTCTTAAATCTCTCAATCTCTCAGCCACTATTTGGGTATCTTTCTGTTCCCGATGTCCAAATGGTTAATCTCCCACTCAATCGGGTCGATAGCTAGGTTCAAAAAAGCTCCAAAGGAGGAGGAAATCAAGTCCATTTTTTTAGTTTTTCTTAAATGAATTCAATTCAAGGAGATTTTAAGTAGAAATCCTTTCAAATAGTCAAATTGTGCCGGTCACCTTAAAACTTATCAAAGCTAACACTGGAAGGCTCGAGACTCTGAAGTGTTGGGCACTTGTAAGTGGATGTGATGTGCCAAATGGGACGACCTGCCTCGTGGCTTGACCCGAGTTGACAAGGCCAGGCTATGGCTCTTTGTTCAGATCTGGTAGACCTGACACTTGACTAGATTCCAATATAGGCCTAGAATAGAAGTGACGCAAATATATGGCTTGGGTTTGTGCTGACCTATGGCTTGGGTTTTGACCAAGATTAGCTCTGTCTTTGGCCGGCTAAACCTGGTCCAAACCAGGCCGAACCTTAGCCCTTTTATATACAAAAAAGATTGATAAACAAAACTTGACTTCACGTAAGCTTTAGAAAAACATATTTATATACAAAGATGTGAATATAAAACCCGGCTAGAATACAAGAGTCACAAGTTTGTTCACGATTTGTCGAGCAACCCGGGGAAAGTCTCACGAAAATTTACGTGTAGACTTCTCGAGAACGAAAAACTCACGTGATCTATAAAAAGCTTTTGATACCAACATCCAAAAACCAAAGGAGATTCCGTGGGAAAACTTAATGGGAACTCTGGTAGATTGTACCTTAGTCTTTCATAGTTTTCTGAAATTGAAGTGTACTTTTTGATAGGAAATGTTGAAGCTTATTTATTTCTCTGTGAGCTTGTGTTGTGAAGAAACTCAACTGTTCATCGACATTGATTTATCGACATTGATTGATCGACAGATTGATCGGCATTGATTGATCGGCATTGATTGATCGACAGATTGATCGGCATTGATTGATCGACATTGATTGTTCGACATTGATTGTTCGACAGATTGATCGGCATTGATTGATCGGCATTGATTGATCGACAGATTGATCGGCATTGATTGATCGACATTGATTGATCGACATTGATTGTTAGACATTTATCAGTGTGCCTAGTAAGCTCAAAAAATGCAGATTCTTTGACTTACTAGAAAACAGCTTCAACTTAGCATCAATTTTGGATATAGAACTTAGCGCAGAAACGCCACTTTGAAATTCTAAAAAGGAAACCTCTTAAACTTACCCTCAGAAAATGATTTAGGTACGATTCGATTGAAAAAAATTAACTATCCAAATCTGGTGTCCAAACTTGCTTTTGGGGCTTTAAAACTGAAAGATTCGAGGTTAATTTTGATAGCTTTTCTCGAGTTTCTGGCAAAGTTTCGGAAAAGCTATTCTTTTCATTTCGCCATCTCAAAAAAAGCATTCATAAATATGCAAATATTTAAATGATATAATGTTTTTGTTCAAAAAACGATTAAATGGATCAAGAAGTCGAATTTTTGAAAAGCAAAAAAAGTTGTAAGCACGGGAATTGAACTAACTCCAGAAAGTTTCGAGAACAAGCGCACTATCTACTAGGATACGGTTGAGACGGCGTAATGAGAGGAAATAACTGAAAATAGTGTGCCAGAAACTCGAGAAAAGCTATCAAAACCTCGAATAACCTCGAATCTTTCAATTCTAAAGCCCCAAAAGCAAGTTTGGACACCAGATTTGGATAGTTAATTTTTTTCAATTGAATTTTCAATTTCAATTTTTACCTAAATCTTTTTCAATCCAATTGCATTCAATTCAAGAGGTTTCCTTGAAAGTTTAAGCAGTTCTCTAGTTAGAAAACTGGAGAAAAACCTTTGAGCTGAGCTATGGCTCAAGAGAACTAGTGAAGATACCAACCAAAACTTTAGTTAGCACCAACTTTTGGCGTCTAATTTTATTTTTGGTTTATCGATATCGATATCAATCAAAAAGGAGATCGATTATTTTGATAAGCCTCGATAAATTGATCGAAAATTATTGTTGAAAATCGACAAGAAGCATCACAATCACAAGAATCAGCGAATACGTTTCATTCAAAACTAATAATATTGGGTTGGTGAATTGAAAACTGCGGGACTTTGAACTAAAATTTATTCAACATAAAACCATAAATTCATTCCAAATAATTTCCATTATTATTGACGACTTCTGCCCATTTTACAAGCAATTTGCGGATTCCTCTTTCGTAGTAGGATTTTGGTTTGTGTGTGAGACAAGTGTGAGACTCAAAAATCGAGGACTGGAGGTGGAGACTGGAGATCCCAATTTGAGCACTTTCTTCAAAAGAAACCCATTTTGGTGTCAATAGAAAAGTTGTAGAGAATCAAAAATTAGGCTTATAGCCAAATTTCCAAAAAGATACACTTAGTAGTTTCGCTTAAAATGCAGGTTTTGTTGCAAGTTTTGTGAAAATTCGTAAATTTCGCATTTCTTGCAAACCAGTTTTTGAATCGTTCTGAAAATTTGGATATAAGCTTGATTTTTGATTCTCTACAACTTTTCCATTGACACCAAAATGGGTTTCTTTTGAAGAAAGTGCTCAAACTGTCACATATGATAATAGCCGGCAGTTTTCAATTCACCAACCCAATAAATCGTTATAGTAACTCGAGTCATCACGAGGCTTGGTATTGGTACTAAATCTTCAACCCAAATTCATTTTCTAATTGAATAAATCTCAAGCTATCAGGTTGGCAAGTTATAAACGATCGTTTTTGGGTAATGTGGTTTCTGAAAAAACGGCTTATCCAATCAAAAAACGGTTTGCTTGATTCTTGATCAGTTTTCAATTCGCCAATCCAATAGTTTCACTTTTTGGTCGTTTTTATTCAATAAGTAAAACAAAGTAAAAATTGAAAGCAAAACTTAAAACAAAACAAAACTTGAAAGCCACTTCCGGCGGTGAAAAAAAACCCACCAAATATCGTTTTTGTATTTTCTCGAATTTAACCCAAAATGTTCAAGTTTTCTTTTCAATCAGGAACTTCCTTGTTTATTTTTGCATTGGAATTCTCTATTAGACTACGATGTTGCGCATTTTGTGCGTTCTTTCGTTTTCGGAAAACTCCCATGAATTGTATTCGTACTCTCCTTTTTTTGAAGTGACAAATTGTGTATTTGAAAAAATGTCGAAATAAACGGGAAATTGAAAGAAAAACTTTTCCCGTTGAAATAACGGTTTGGAATAAGAAAATGATTTGGTTAGAGTAGCCGGGATTTTCGAAATTCTCTCTGATTGAGATTGGATAAGTCTGATTGAGAAGTTCAAATTGGATGAGTTCAAATTGGATAAGTTCAAATTGGATGAGTTCAAATAGGATAAATTCAAAAGATCAATTGAAAAAGGGTTTCTTTTTCTTTGTTTCCTCACAGTCTACCCGTAAAACGGCTGAACTAAGATATGCATGGCTTAGTCTTTAACATGAGCATATCGTCACTGGCAGGATCAACCAGATATGAAAACAAGTTGCGATTCTCTCAGAGAGAAAGCGTTCAAAATGCTTTCCGCTTTTGCCATCACGACACAGATAGTCACCAAACAACCATCACCAAACAGATAGTCATCAAACAACCAACCAACACTCTAGAGCCTAAATGAACAGGCTGAGAGTAGCTACGTCGCTGAAGCCTTTCAACAGCTAAAGCAATAGCTCACATTCCTGTGAGCGTCAACGGTGGCGTCAAATTCCACATTTGGGAAGGCGTCAACGGTGGCGACCAAGCTGGACTAAGCTCTTCCCACGCTTTCAACAGTGAATTCTTCAAGGCTTCGCTGCTTTTGTGGAACTTTGAACAAGCTTTGGCTTCTAGAACCGACCATATTGAAAACTCCATTGGGTTGTGGTCTGAAGCGCTAGGTGACCACTCAGAAAAAGAAATGAAATCCGGGAAGTTGTTTTCGCAGCACTCTTGGACTTTCTAAGATTTGTGGACCTGTGCCAGCTTATTGATAAGTCGCGATTTCCAAAATTTTTACGAGCCCAGGGCAAGAGTTCATCCTTGAGAAGAGCTAGGTAGTTATCGGAAATGAGGCGCGTGATACCTTGTTGCGATAATTATAGCTCACCCTGTAATCAGCGTAAACTTTTGCGTAAACAATCATCTCAAATACGCATATTTGAGGTTCACCGATAATGGAGCGTTGGCTAGAAGCGTTGGCTAGAAGCGTTGGCTAGAAGCGTTGGCTAGAAGCGTTGGCTAGAAGCGTTGGCTAGAAGCGTTGGCTAGAAGCGTTGGCTAGAAGCGTTGGCTAGAAGCGTTGGCTTCTAGAACCGACCACACTGAAAAATCCATTGGGTTGAGGTCTGAAGAGCTAGACTGCGCATATTTGACGTTCACCGATAGTGGAGTGATGGATTTGAGGAAATGATGAGTTGAATGATGCCGAGGTTACGGTAGTGTTTAAAAGGCTACCTTTGTGTTAGTGTTACCTTTTAGGCTAGTGTTACCTTTTAGAGAATGCATTACTCAAAAAGGAAAACAATCTAATTGCTAGTAGAGTACTCTAAGTACTCTAGTAATCTAAGAGTACTCATTCGAGTACAACACCTAGTACAGTAGCTATCTCAAATTGGGTAAATTCAAGAGATCATTTGAAAAATCCTAATTCTTTCTCTTCATGAAGGCTTTCGATAGTTTGGTTACGGTAGTTTTCAAAAAAGATAGGCAAATAGGAACACACACGTTTTGTTTTGTTTTGTTTTGTTTTGTTTGTTTTGCATGTTTTGTTTTGTTTTGCTTGTTTTGCTTCTTTTCTTTTGCATGTTTTGTCTAAAACTGAGTCTAAATTTGAATTAATTTATTAGATGAGATCAAATTTTCTGTTTTCCACTCCATTTATAAAACGCCAAAGAATCGAGCAACCGAGGAAAGGATCGCCTTTTGAACGGGTGGAATCGCGTGTTCGACGTCTTCAATCGATGGGATGTCAATCTTCGGAATATCCTCTAATCTCGGCAATTTCAATGGCGCCAATGTGGGCATTTGAGCCATTCCTGAATTTGAATGATTTTGAGATTTCATAGCTAATTCTTTTCCGCAACAGAGACGTTCAAGAGTCCAGATTTCAAAGATTTCATTTCAAGATTTGAATATTTGATTCAACACTGGCATTTTCGTGATGAAGTCTTCAATTTCGCCTTTTCACACACCCACCATTGATCATCTGTTGTTGCGGTTGTTGGGGGAAAAGATTGGGAAACAAATTATTCATCGGATTTGACTGAACCGCAGGACTCAGCTGTTGAATTCCCTGGAAAAACTTTAGAAAATTTTCATTCTACAAAGTTACTTGTTGTTGCGGCAATGCTTGCAAAAGCTGTCCATTCTGTTGATATTGTTGTTGTAGTGAATATTGCTGTGGGTATGGAAGAACTTGAAGTTGGGGTGCTTGTTGAACTTGTTGATAATAGGGTTGTTGGGGTTGCTGAAAAAGAAAGAAGTTTTTCGAAAATAGGCTCATCATCAGTTGGCAGGTAGCCAGGATTCCGGCGGAGGTTTTAGCCTCTTAGCCGTTATCCGGGAAACTGCTAATTGCCGCCAATCGATCCCCCGTGTCGGTTTACATAAGACATGTGGGCTAACAATCCGATTTAATGCTTGTGGAGTGAGCTAGAGGGGCTCAAAGTTGGGTTGTGCTCAGGCTTAGGCTTAGGCTTAGGCTCAGGCTTAGGCTTAGGCTCAGGCTCAGGCTCAGGCTTAGGCTTAGGCTTAGGCTTTTTTGTGCCTCTGCCCAACTTTGAGCCTCTCTAGCTCACTCCACAAGCTTTAAATCGAATTTTTAGCTCACAGGCCTTATGTAAACCGACACGGAGAATCGATCGGCGACAGTTAGAAGTTTTCTGGATAACGGCTAAGGGTCTAAAACCTCTGCCCCTTCCCCGTCCCCAAATTTTCTTACAATGTAAATTTTTCCGAGTGAATTTCATTGTAGCCATATTATAGACTGAAGATTTTGTTAAATTTTCTTTTTTGAGTGTAGATTGATTGGGCGCTTCTGGACGAAGCTCTAGCAATTCCTCCAAAAACACTGAAATCCTGGCTACGGGGCTGGTAGATGAGAAAGAAACCGGGTACTGGCGGCAAACAGTTACCTGGTTGTATTGCTGTTGCTGTTGCTGTTGCTGTTGATGTTGCTGTGGTGGTTGTGGAGCCACTTGAGTGGGTTGAGGCAGCGATCTTTGCGGGTATTGCTGCTAAAGTCGCTTATGAAAAAAGGATTTAGAATCGAAATTTTACAGGTTGTCCTGGTTGATATCGCGGTGATGGTGGTGGTTGGGGTGGGCTTTGCAATTGTTGCGATTGGGTGTCGATTTGAGCGGCGCTCACTTGCTGTTGCTCGAAGCCGGGTCTTTGGCCGAATACCTGGAATTTGAAGTAAACTGAAGTTGATCGGAAAAAGTATATTTGTTTCTAGCTTAAAGCTAGAATATTTAGCCTTAAGTTAGAAACAAATTTGCTAGAAGTTCGCTAGAAGTTCGCTAGAAGTCACTAGAATCAAATTTCTCACCTGTGTAGGAGCTGCCATGGCTTGAGCTGGTGGTTGTTCTTGAACCGATTGCAGTTGGATATCGGATGGTTTAACGTCAAGAGGGTTCTAGGATGTGAAAAATTGAGATTATATTTGAAACTTATAAATATTGCCGTTAACTAGGGGTATTCAATCCTGTTCCAACCTTATCCAATCCTCTCTGCGCATCGGCGATGATCGCATTGTTAGCAGTGATCGTTTCAAACTCTGTAAAGGCATTAGAATTTCGAAAGTTTAGAAAAATTTGGTTCAAATAATAATCGGTAAGTTAGGCAATCGGCAATTAATAATCGGTTATTCAGCTATCCAAGTTAGTTCCATTTTTAGCCTGTTTACCTGCCGCATCATCATCAAAACATTGCATTCGGCGAACGTGCACGTTGTAGATGATTCTGAAAAGATTTAAGGTGAAATTTTCAAAACAAATGTAATAAGGAAAGGAATTGGCAAGAAAAAGTAGATTTCTGGAGAGGGGATTGAACCCTGAGGTTCCTGAGCAATTGCTCTAATCACTAAGCTATCCGGTACCTTAACTTGCCAAGAGAAAGAAAGAAAGACGAAAGGGAAAGAAAGAAGAAGGACAAGAGGGAAGAAGAAAGAAAGAAAGAAGCTAGAAAGAAAGAAGAAGCTAGAAAGCTAGCTAGAAATTTGAAGTCTTGACTCTTGAAATAAATTCACTCACGTTCCATTCTCAGAAATGATCTTGTTCAAGTTGGCAATGTAGTCGAAAGCGACAAGGCGATTATTTGCTGTCACCTAAATACAATTTTAGAACCAGAAAAGGTACTATTTACAAAAAAAAGTTAAACATTCAAAGCCATTAAAAGACACGAAGACAGAAGGCACTGAGACAGACTTTAAGACAGACTTTAAGACAGACTTTAAGACAGGTTTTAAGACAGAGATTAAAACCAAACACTTCAAAACCGACCTCTCCCCCAACGACCATTTGTCCCGGATGCAGTTGAGCAATTCCCCGATCCTCCGAGTTGAACAACGGACCATAGGAACAGCAACGCGTTTGAAGGCTAAAGAACCACGAATTGCTTTCAAAAATTACTAGAAAACTTTTAAGACTACAAGAATTCAATACTTTTGATCATTTGGAGGAGTTTTAATCAGAACGCCTTGTATCTTCAACCAAAAAAGCTTGTTGGGCTCCTAGACTATCTCTTCCTTGAAACCAAACGATTAATTGACTTTGATTGATTGATTGAAAACAAACGTGAGTAAGTATGGATGCATTTTTGCAAACCAAAACCAACTTTTTTGTTTAACCAACTAGCTTGGCTAATATTTGGAACATGAATTTTATGTCTTTCTTTTTGATTTCCTTGTCTTACTCACGTTTTCGAATAAGCGTCCGCTTGTGGGGCCAATCCACCAATCCATTGCCCTGCATCGCATCCATTTTGTCTGTAGATTGCTTCACAACTCTAAAATCAGCATTTAAAAATCTTAAATGTAAATTTGAAGCAATCATCAATTTCTTTTGTGCAACAAAACTTCTACAACCAAAAAAGAAACCCACCGACACTTGTGGCACAAAACCCTCAGCGCGATAGGGTTGTCTCAAGAGTACGTCAGATCTAAAAGAGATAAATTGACTTTCCAAATTGAAACCAAATTGAAACCAAATTGAAACTCTTTTAAAACCAATTTGTAACCTTCCAGCTATTCTTTACCTTCTCAAATATCCATCCTCTTTTCCGTTTATTCGATAAAATTGCGCACTATCGGCTACTCGAGTTCCATTGGCTGTCCATCCAAAACATCTCGGTCGAGCACATCCAAGCACTGGGTAACCAGCCCGTAGCACCTTGGAAGTGCAGATATTAGATTGAGCACTAAGTCTTTCACCCAAATTCATTTTCTAATTGAATAAGTTTCAAGTTACCTAAGTTCTAGCTGCCTAAGTCCTCCGACAAGCTCAGCGAGCATGTCATTTTATGTGATTTTCGGGTATTTAAGCAAAATTTTTAAAGAAATTTGTTATTTAAATGAATTTTATGATAAACCAGCCTAGCAGTGTAGCGCACACTTTTTTAGGCATCGTTTCCTTTCAGTGTTGAGCGATTGAACTGATAAAAAGACCAAGATGTCGTCACCTCATTGAAAAAGCTCCGTGGGGGTTTCGAAAGGGATTTTTGAAGCTTGTTCACGCATCATCAGATTTAATTTTAATGTAGATAGTGAACTAATAAGATGAACGCTAAAAAAATAGCTTATAGCTTAGAGCGCTTTTTGTGTACTCGAAAATCTCAAAATGATTTACTCGCCGAGCTTGTCGAAGGAGCGAACTTTGAGATATCCCACAACCAAACCAGTTGAGTTTTCAGCAAAAACCAAAAAACCTACCATAGAAAAGCTCTTCAATTTTTATTTAAAATCGCTAGAAATCGCTAGAATGAGAATGAGAATCGCTAGAAAAATAGCCGAGATATTTACGAAAAAAGACGTTTTACCGTAATTATGCACCCTGTAGTATGAGTAATTTTTAAATGATTTTCGAGTACACAAAAGGCGCTCTAGAACATCTTTGAGCTATTTTTTTAGCGTTCATCTTATTAGTTCACTATCCACATTAAAATTAAATATGATGATTATGTTGAACAAGTTAAACAAGCTTCAAAAATCCCTTTCGAAAACCGCCACGGAGCTTTTTCAATGAGGTGACGACATCTTGGTCTTTTTATCAGTTCATCGCTCAACATTGAAAGGCAACGATGTCCAAAAAAGTGTACGCTACACTACATCCAAGCTTATCAAATCAAAATTACTGATCAAAGCTTGCTTTTTGCCTGTTTATTGGCTATTTTATTGGCTTACCTGAAAAGTGAATGGAACGGCCGCTTGTCCACAAAATGAAGCAAATGAGCTGCCAATGATGGTCAAGAGAGTAGGCAATAGCATCTGTAAAATGGCAATAGCATCGTTTTACCGCTTTAATTAGAATTTCGATTAAGTAAGCGAATAAACGAAAGAATATAATGCTATAAAGAATAAGTAGCTGAGTATTTAAAGTGGCGAAAAGATCTTTTCTTAGTTTTAAATGGGAACTCCGGGTCTAAGGAAAGTCAATGTTAAATTGGGCATCTATTTTGTCACGTCTTCTTCTGATTTTCAACTTTTTTTATTAAATTCTTTTAGAATTCTTTTAGAATGTAATGTTTTCTATTAAAAAAAACCAAAAATATTTCAGATTGTTGTTAAATTTGAGAAAATACATGGAAAAGAAAGAAAAGAACGCAAGTGCTAAAATGCAATTGGACGGAAGTTTTATATACTTTTCGCTCAAATATCTACGTTTTAGGGTCGGACGGAAAGCTAAAATCGCGCTTTTCTTCATTTCTCGATTTGAAATCATGTTTTTCATCTAGAAAATAGTTGTAAAGGAGACTAAAACGCATCGAATGATTTCTAAATCACCGCGATTCTTGAAAGTCAACTTTTGAAACTTTTAGGTCGAACGAAGAGAAGATAGAATCCCTTTAAAGAACGAATAGACGATAGAATATAGTCATAGTTTACTTAAAATGACGAGTTTTTGATAGAAACTATGCCGGAAACAGGGAAATGATGGAGGAATTTTTGGCAAAATTCGGAAAAGTTTCAATGTTGATCAGCAATGTTGAACGAGAGTTTTGTTCAGTTCAATCAGTGCAAAACATTTTAGTAAGATAGTCAAGACGAGGCTTTTCTCCAAAAAAAATGACCAAGAACAAAAGTTATCCATAAAAAGATGGTTAGCATATCTAAACTAGCCCTAAAATGTGGTGATCTAGAAAAATCAGGAAATGGAGGAAAAATCGGTGAAATGAAAAGGGCATTCCGGAAAGGAGAGAGAGGTCAAAGAAAGACGAAAGAAAAGCGGTGGAAAGCGAAGAAATCGTTTGATTTGAAAACCGGTGTGAATGGATGAGATGGGGTCGATTTTCAGGATTTAAATCGCTCACGAAAAAGAGGGGAATAGCCGATGATTGGAGGTCTTGACCCCTGAAGTGAAAAGGTGATCGCTTTTCCTCCAATCTTCTCTCAATCATTTTGGAGCTTGTTTTTCTCGAGTGCTTTCTTTCGACTTTCTCCTTAGCATCTGAGCCTTGAGAAAGATCTGTGCCTTGAGAAGAATTCGCATTTTTTCGGATATCACTTGAGCACCTATGAATGGATTATATGTTTAATATTATATGTTTAAATAGTTGCTCACTAGGGAAAGCTCACTATCTCACTATGGGAAAGATAAAATGGGAATTGGGGTTAGAATTAACATTTATTTAACTCATCTATCTGTCTTTATTTGCTCAATGATGATTCAGATTCAAAGATGTGGTGCTATGACAAGGTAATGCTGACAAGGAAATAACCAAACCTGTCGGTGGGATTTTGACCTGAAAATCAAGACAAAATGCCTATTGATTACGCTGAAAACGATAGTGAAATTTGTTTTTGCGAATGAGCAATAGTTTTTTTTTGCAAACACATTTGAAATTTTAAGCCATTTTTCAATTTTCACGATTTCAGGAATAAAGCTTAAAAAGACGTGTTCGCTGTGGTAAAATGGGTCGAATGGGTAAAGAAATTACAAGAAATTACCTAGACTTTTTAAACTCTAGTAGTTACATTTTCGTTTATCTTTATCAAAATTGAAAATTCTTTCAAAAAAACATAGCATAAGTTTTTTTGAAAGAATCAAAACTCGATGTACCCTACCTTCGTGCCACTTTCCGCCGAAGTTTCTAGACAAACATCAACGTGAAAGGCAATCATTTTGAAAAATAGTGACTTAGGCTTGTTGAAGTATTTGTGTTTGAGATGTTTATTTCTTTTTAACATTAGATTTGTTCCTATTAGGTTATTCGGATATAAACGAGCGTTTGCACTGCCTATTGCACTAACTCGTGAGGAAGCTATTTCCCGCATTTAATCGCCTTTCCAATGGCGTGGAGATGCTCATCAATAGTAGAATTTGAACATAGAAACTGTTGAACAAGTTCACGCGTCATTTAACATGGATCCGATTCGATTGCAGCCCTCAATATATCGTTGTCTACCGCTTGAGGCCGACGAGAGTGTTCATCATCCTCCAGACTTTCATCACCATTCCTAAAGCGTTGGAACCAGGCTCGGCATCGGCTTTCGGACTATACATCATTCCCAAATGCTTTGACCAAATCTCGATGGGATTCCGCGGCTGTTTTGCCCAGTTTGAAGTCGTAAAGTAGGCAGACGCGAACTTGATATTTGAAGTCGGTCATCTAAAGCAAGAAAAAAAGATCTTAAAAATAAGAAATTATCCGTTTAAAAAGATTTCAAATATGCACAAGATAACGTACTTTTAAATACAGAAAGACATGTTTTAAAAAGCTTCTCTCACAACAATAAGCTTAGCAACGCTTGTTTATATCCAAACAACCTAATACAAAACGAGCTTAAACCTAGTGATCTATTGGTGCATAAATATTGAACACCATGTAGAGTCCTTAAAATCACCAATTGATTTCAAGGCATAATATGTGAGTAGGGCAATTTGGAAATCAATACTTAAACTTGGAGTCATCGTCTAAAAAAGTCTCAAACCCAGGGTTTTGTTTTTTTAATTAGTATCAAGCTTTTGGCCAACTTACCCTTGACTTGAACTACGATTTCATTTGCAAAACCTTTCGTCACAACCTAGAGTTGGCTCAATGTTGTTATATTTGTTGGCAGATATGTTTTCGACTTCCTCTAAAAGTTTAACCAGTCAAACTCGAGTTCCACTTGATAAACTCAGTAAAATGAATAGCTTCAATCAATTCACCGACCCCGAAAACCCCCAGGTACAAATTTCCAGCCGAATATCTTCTTTTTGTATCATCTACAAAACAAAAGGAAAATCCCGACATAAAGAGATCCTTGTGATATCTTTGTTGAAACCTTTTCATCTACAGATTGTCTTTTTCCCTATAAGTCAGCTCAATCTTATGCCCATTTGTGGTGGTTTAGTGTAAATTATTGTCACTTACTAAAACACATAGAGTTTTTGATTCTGTACAAAGCTGTGACATGAAAATTTAGCTATGTATGCCAAAATTTGGTAATAGTCGCTTAATCTCTTGAGCAATGTTAATGAATGAGTGATCCCTAGTTCTATTATTATTTGCAAGCCCCTCACAAATAATTTCTACCGATTCTGCATATGATTTTTGTTCCCGCATTCTTGTCGCCCAGCTTTTATGAATATTGCAAAGGACTTTATTGCCCTGATAAGACTAAGAAAGTGTGTACCCGTAATACCACATTATTTGTGCACAAAGGAGACAAAGAAATCAGATATTTTCTGAAAGAATTTGGTTCCAGCATAAATTTTTTTTTGAGTTTTCAATGAGCTTTGCAGATAAGAACTAAAAACGAGGACACTCGAGTTTTTGGAGAACAAAGGATGAAAAAAGAGATTAGACAACTATTGTAGTAGAATGTTTCGAACGGAGACTTACGTTTATTAAAAAAAATATATTTCTTAAATATAGAACAAAAGATGAAGAAAAAGATTAGAGAAGTACTATAGTACTGTAGAAGTATTAGGTTGATGCAAAAGTCTTTTTCATTTTTTTCGTACTTCTGTTAAAAAGTAACAAATTCACCAATTAATCTATAGTTTGCTCTATAAAAAAAGTGTTTTTTTGTTCAATTTGCATCTTTTTAAATCAATTTCGGTTCACTTTCAAGCAAATTCGAGAGTGAAAAACGCCTTTTTCGTCAAAATCTATAAAAAACTCTACGGAAAAATTGGCTGAATGAATTTCTCTGAAATTTTGGCGAAATATCAAACTTTTTTTCTCTATCTTTTATCTATTGACACGAAGATAGGTTTTCTTTAGCTAAGGTGTCTAAACCGCATCATCGAGTTAGCCCTTTTTGACTACCCGACTTCATACTCTCAAGAAAATCCAGGCATAAAATACTTTTAAACCCGTTTTAATGTTATTTTGCAGAAAAATAATTGGTTTTTCTAATGAAATCAACCGTAGTTTAATTGGTGCATTTGTTGGCTTGAAACGGCAGACGAAAAAAATGAAAAAGACTTATGCATCAACCTAATATTCAACGGCGCAAAATTCATTTGAAAGAATTCTCTGGCTGAGGAGTAGCAAAACCAGACAGACTATATAGTAGATCATTAAGAAAGCACTAAATTACAGAGTTTGGACAAACCTAAAATGCTCACTTACTTTTACTGTTTACTCATTTTGTTATGCGAAAAGCCGATTCATTGGAACCTTGGCCGCTTGACCAGCATCAGATGAAGAAAGATATGGATGGAAAATTGCTTGTGAACGCTACTTGCAGATCGTCGAAGAAGATGATGAAGATGCCAAGCCACCTAAGATAACCTGGCCTGATTCCGATGGAGAATAGAACATTTTACTTTTTTCTTCTTAAATCGTTTTGTTGTTGTTGTTTTTTTTGTAGATTTTTCGTTTATAAAATTTTACCCGAACCGAACCGAACCGGATAAAAACTGACCCGAAGAATAGGTCTAATCTAGAGGTACCTAAGCAAAACATTTTTGGGCAACCCAATATACCATTCGATAGCAAAATTGATGGGCTACAACTTTGTAGTTGGTCATTTTTGTCATAATACATCATCAAAGTGGAAAAAACTGAAAAAATGGTAAAAGGAAAAAAACGCAAAGTAATGCAAAACTCATAAATGCAAATTTTTTAAAATAGAAAGCCTCTGAATACCCTTGTGATATCTTTGTTGAAACCTTTTCATCTACAGATTGTCTTTTTCCCTATAAGTCAGCTCAATCTTATGCCCATTTGTGGTGGTTTAGTGTAAATTATTGTCACTTCCTGTCACTTACTAAAACACATAGAGTTTTTGATTCTGTACAAAGTTGTGACATGAGAGTTTAGCTATGTATGCCAAGATTTGGTAATAGTCGCTTAATTTCTTGAGCAATGTGAATGAATGAGTGGTCCCTAGTTTGACTATTATTATTTGCAAGCCCCTCACAAATGATTTCCACCGATTTTTGATGATTTTTGTTCCCGCATTCTTGTCACCCAGCTCTTTGGAAACTTTATGAATATTGCAAAGAACTTTATTGCCCTGATAAGACTAAGTGTGTACCCGTAATGCCAGATTATTATTTGTGCACAAAGGGGAAAAAGCAATCAGATATTTTCTGAAAGGATTCCGTTTCAGCACAAATTTTTTTTGAGTTCACAATGAGCTTTGCAGAAAAGAACCGAAAACGAGGACACTCGAGTTTTTGGAGAACAAAGGATGAAAAAAGAGATTAGACAACTATTGTAGTAGAATGTTTCGAACGGAGACTTACGTTTATTAAAAAAAATATATTTCTTAAATATAGATAAATGCTCAAGCCATTTATTTATGTTCATAGGTTCCATTGAAAAGTTTTATCTGTAAGAAGTCAAATTCAAAGTTCAACTAAAGATTGTCAGGGATTTTCTAAACTTGTGGATCAATATGGATTATTTTGATTTCATTACCTTTATCGCCTCCGGACCAAACAATCGAACTAGCTTTGTAAAAAACTTTCTGAAACTCGCATTGCTAGCTTCAGTCTAATAACTTTTACTATCTAATAGCTGCTTCTTTTACATCAAAATACTTACATTAGCTTACTACGATAACTGTAATCACATGATTTTTAATATTAGTGTTTTGTTCACGAAAGGATCGTCCGTTAATCACCCGCTTTTTCATAGTTATTTAGCTTGTTGCTCAGTAGTGTGTGTAGACCATTTGGTCTTGCCCTACCTCTCCATTTTTAGGCAAGCCCCTTTTTGATTTCAGAGCAAAAATGATTTTGCTCTCTTTGCGAGGAATTTCTCTTTTACTTTTTTGCTTTGCTGTTTGCTGTTTTTTTTTGTGTTTACTGTATAAAAAAGAAAGTTTTTAGAAAGAAATCAACGTTTCCTTGAACAAGAATGTCTGACGATGTAAGACTCTTGACTACTCATTGAACAATATCTTTTAGGTAAATGGTTTTGAAGGCATGCGAAAGAAGATACAAGAAAAGGCTAAAGAGGTATTTGAAGGTTGAATAATCGAACTTGAATAATCGAAATTGAAATATCAAACTTTTTAGCTCGACAAAATGGAGAAAACAATCAAATTTCTTGATTCTCGAAAAGCCGAAGAGTTTTGCGGCGAGCTAACAGATGACGCGGCTTTAAGGGAGAGTTTAGTGAAGGAAATTGAGGTGATTATCACGATTTTCTAAAATGAAGAGGTTATTTAAGGAGCTGGCCTTCAAACGCCTCAAAACTCAGGCAGAAAACCATTTCTGCGATCAAATCGATGCACTCTTTGAGGAGACGGAAATGGCAAAAGAATTTGAGTTGATCAAGGTAACAGTCTAATTCCAAACAAATAACTATTGGGAACGGAGAAATTTGAAAACAAGAAAAACAAGAAAAATAATATTTGAAAAATGGGCATCTGATTTTTCCTAGTATAATTTACACTTATAATTAGTCAAAACTACTCAACTGAATAGTAAAAGTTAACTTCTTTTAAACAATTAAACTTTTAAAACAATTTCTAACTTCAACAAAAGTAAAATGAACATAAACGTTAAATTTTGTAATGGGAAGTGATCGGAAAATAAATCACAAATACTCGTGTTTATGGGGATTTCAATTTCGTTAGTTTATGCTAAAAGTCATTAGCACCATAATAAAATCAGTTTAACACGTTCGGGACGATTCGGTCCACCGGTGGACAAAGGCCGTCTGGCCGCTGGGACGATTCGGTCCACCGGTGGACAAAGGCCGTCTGGCCGCTGGGACGATTCGGTCCACCGGTGGACAAAGGCCGTCTGGCCCCTGGAACAATTCGGTCCAACGGTGGACAAAGGCCGTCTGGCCGCTGGGACGATTCGGTCCACCGGTGGACAAAGGCCGTCTGGCCGCTGGGACGATTCGGTCCACCGGTGGACAAAGGCCGTCTGGCCGCTGGGACGATTCGGTCCACCGGTGGACAAAGGCCGTCTGGCCCCTGGAACAATTCGGTCCAACGGTGGACAAAGGCCGTCTGGCCGCTGGGACGATTCGGTCCACCGGACGAAACCCCTCCCGCCCCAGAGACAGACGCTCTACCGACTGCGCTATAGAAGACCTCTATTGCGCGTATCCCAGTAAAACGGCCATAACTTTTTGGGGTAAAGGCTTATCAAAAAATGATGTTGATATGAAATGTTCATCTAGCTGAGCTCCATCCAATAAAACAAAAATCGTGGAAAACGGACCATTGGAGAAAGAGAAATGGGACGTTTTGTCTCACGAGCCAAAAAAAGGCGATATCCTTTTGAGGCAACAATATTTTCAAAATCTGATTAGAGATTCGGATTCAGCATGAAATTTTACATATAGGAGGTGTATTTCGGCTTAGCTTTGCGAGACATCCCTGATCCACTGGGGCAGTAACGCAAAAAAAACGCCTCGTCGCGAATGTGTTAACACAAAGTTTAGAACAAAATCTCTTTGAATAAGTCAAATAATTAGAAGCAACATTTGACATTCATAGAGACAATACTTGCTTTCAGACGGGAGCCAAGACAGCTGATGAGGTTGTTTCCATGAAAATTGAAGCCTTCAAAAAGGAGCAACTCGTCATTCTCGAGAAATATCAAACAAAACTGATCACCGATCTTTACGCTAAATTGATCAACGACGCCGAAGAAAGGCTTCGGGTAATATTTTTGTTGCCTGTAACGTGTTATTTTTGAAATTTTTTAGGAAAAAATCGCATCAAGAAAGGACAAGCAAAAACAAGTTGACGAGTCAAAAAAGCGACTTGAAAAGGATGAGAAAAAGATCGAGAAGGTTTCGATAGGGAAATAAATAGAGAATAAGATATTTAGGAAATTAAACGAGCACAATGGCAAAAAGCATTTTCAAGGGTGATCGCATTCCTGACCGCTGTTATCATTGTCATCAAGAATAAATCGACACATTTCTTCATTGAGGCCGGGAGAATCGGCTCAAATGTTGGCGGGAGTGTTTGGAAATCGACAGCCATTCACTCGAAGAATGCGATCGAAACTTTCTTATCGATAGCTCGAAAAGGATCGACTCATCTCACCGAAAAATCGCCGGCAATCACCGAAAAACTCGGGAAAAGTAAGCATAAATTTGAATCCGATCAATGTTGAATTTAGTGCTGGAACACTGGTTTTACGGCTCGGTGTTCGTCTTTCTCGGCTTGATGACAATGGCTTTGCTGGAGTTCTCGTGGTTGACTTCTGGATTGATGATCTGGACGCTGATTGCGGCAAATATTGGCTACGTGTCTCAAAATCAAGAAAAAAGGCTTTTCCCGGGAGGACTCGAGATTTTAGGAGGTTATTTCGATGCTTATGTTAGAAATTAAAAGAAAGTGCAGAAAAAAACTAACTAAACTTTAAATAATGAAATAAACTTAAAAAAAAACTAACTAAACTTTAAAAGAAAAACCGTTCCTATTCAATTTTTCCTCGCAAATAGTTCAGTCAAATTACTTAAATATAATACAAATAGGCTTAGGATTGGCTAAGTATGCAAAGAGCATAACAATCGATTTAATTTGATGATGAATAATGATGATGATGATGAATCTCTTGTTTCAGTCCCACTGTAAGAAAGGTGTGTGAGGACCTCTTGCCTCTTGCTCCAAAATTTAATAGATGTAGTCTAGCATTAGGTACCCCGGAAAATAACTGCGTTTTTCTTAATGATTTTCAATTGCAAAATTTCTTGATTAAACAACAATTGAATTAACCAAAATAACAACCGTTAGAAACAATATGCTTTTGCCAATGAGTAGCCAATTTTTCGATTCCTTCGGCATAAAAAATCGGCTTGTCTAAAGACGATGAAGTCTTCGATAGCATTTTTCACCTCTGTTTCATTCTTGAAAATTTTGTCTATAACGTAACGATCGAGATGCTGGAAAAAGTGATAATCTGTTGAAGAAAGATCAGGTGAATACGGCGGATGAGTAAGAACTTCGATCTTCAAAGTTTGCAAGCTATTGAGGGTCTGCAAAGACACTTCATTTTCCTGCATTGTCCTTTCGATTGACCAAAGACGGGCTCAAATTCCTCAATTTTGAATGCATTTCTTCAATTTGTCCAATATAAGTGTCTGAATTTATACTTTCTCCCATTTTTTGCAAAGTATGGCGCACTTTTTCTGCCAATAGAGAGCATTTCCTTCTTTGGATAAAGGTCGGGCTTCGGGAACGACTGAGGTGCTCCTCCTTTGTCAAGCCACTCCGAATTTCGTTTTCGATTGTCATATAGTATCCACTTTTCATCGCACATCGCACAAAATGGACCTCTATTGTTCCGAGATTTCAACGAAGAAACAGCAAGAAAGCGTGTAAACTTCTGGCGGTCGTCCAGCTTCTGAGGTCCAACTGATGAGGTATCCACTTCTCCAGTTTTTTATCCTTTCCGATATCCTTGAAGTGATCACTTATGGTAGAAATCCCTACATTGAAGTGTTTTGGTAGTTCTGGCTCAGTAGTCCGCGGATTGGCTTCGACAGCTTCTCTTGAATCATCATCATCAATGAGTCTTGGGCGACCGCGACTCACTTTGTCATCAAGATTCTTGTCTCCTTCCCGGAATCATTTGAACCAAACTTGAGCGATCCTAACAGAAGTAGGCTCATGACCAAATGTACGATTGACGTTTTCGGCTCCAACCGTTGCGGCATGTCCAAGCCTCAACGCATACAAAAAATCTCCGCATTTGTCATTTGCATTTGTCATTTGTCCATTCTCCTTATGTCGAGCCCCTAAAATTAATCATTCTTTAGAAAGACAAATTTTTGAGGGCATTGCAAAGAAAAGCTATAAACAATTTCTCGTTGAAAAATTCTAAAGGAATCCGTACTGAAAAAAACTCCGAAACAAGGCCCGAAATAATTGATATCAAAAAACCCAGTTATTTTCCGGAGTATTTAAAGGTAGTTAAAGTTAACATAATAGTTAAAGGAATTCTTTTTGAAGGTGTGTTGCTTTAATAGACCAAAAATAGCATAGCGAATTTGCGAATAGAGATTCACAAGTGCAAAAACATAAGTGCAAAAACTTTATTTCAGTCCAAATACTCACAATTAGATGTAGCTGTAGCTAGCTGTTAACAGTGTCTAAAAGTAGCTGTTAACAGTGTCTGAAAGTACCACTTAAAGCCAAATTTCAGCCTCGATTTTCGTCCCGCTTTGCCTATTCAGTCGGCACTACACGGTGATCGCTTTGATCATCATTGTATCGTTCCTTTTGACCGTATCATTGGACAAAACGCTGACACAGTCAGTAGAGGATATGCTCTTCAAAAAACGTTTGTTAACTGCTATTAAAGTTGCAAATCGTTTTCAGCAACCACCACCCTCAAGAATACGTTTTTAACGGCCACTCGCTTCACCGGAGCATTGATCGGCTTTCTCGCTTTGCCATTCTTTGCTCATCCGGCAATTACCATTTTATGCTACACATTTATGACGTGTTGCCTAATCCTTCTCAAGAAAGCTATCGGGAACAATAAAGTCATTCAACCGATTATGTTCTTCGGTATTTTGGTATTCGGCGTCATCAACTATATCCTCTTCCACTATACAAACAATCTACAATTGCTTCTTTTCATGGTGCACGCTCTCACTTCAGTAACCACACTTGAAATTGCTGAGGGAAATAATGGTGGGTTTTCAGCTAGATTTCTGATTCGGTTAACCGTAGTGGAAAGTTTTCACAAATTGCACAAACTATTTTTTTTTGCCGCATCGAATTCCCGATTTTACGAATCAAGAAATGTCAATGTGACGGAGAATGTGTTTATTTCGTTTACATTTAGCTCTGAGACATGTGCCCCTGAGACGTGTGTCTACACTTCGTTGGGACAATGTAAATCATTGGGACAATGGTGCTAGCGATCAATTCATTCTGAAATTCTTGGCTCTTCACGGTCTATCGACTCTTGGAATGTGGAATGAGTATGTGGCTACTTTTATGACCGCTCTCCTCTCTATCCTAATCATCGCCGGAGCTCTCGAATTCAAATATGAAGCAGAGCGCCAATTGAACATCCACGAAGAGTTCTATGCAAAAGGTAATATCAAAAGGTAGCATTAAAAGGGTGACAAAGGGATAAATTTATAGGTCTTCAAACGAGAGACTCGTTAGTGTTCATAGTGCTCCTTGGGTTGGTAATCGGCGGATTGTTTGGCACATATTCGAATACGATAGCAATGGGCGTTCTCCTGCTGTACCTCTTGCTATGCTTTGTCCTATCAGCTTTTGCAAATCGTCCTCCCTGGTATTTACTGCACATGGCTGTTGTGGCGATCTATTATCACATGGCTTTTCAGCTCTTGGACTCAATTGAGGTATTTGATTTGAAAGCACTGATCTAACAATAAGTCTGAATTTATTAGAACCCATGCGAACTGGTATTTCCCTCACCTGTATACCAGTTAGAACAGAAAATCAACTAATTATAAGTCAAGTTCCCCTCCCCGTTAAAGTCAAACATTATAATTGTCTGCTTACGATAGGTTACTTCAAGTAAGCCAAATGTATTGGTTCAACATAGTAATCTGCTCTAAGTACTAAGTATTAGGTTGTTCGGATATAAACGAGCGTTTTAGTCGTTGACAAAATTTATCTTAAAAACAGAAACAACACAGTTTAATCCAAAATACATTCACCATTATTATTGATCGTCTTTCCAATGGCGTGGAGATGCTCATCAATAGTAGAATTTGAACATAGAAACTGTTGAGCAAGTTCATTTAACATGGATCCGATTCGATTGCAGCCCTCAATATATCGTTGTCTACCGCTTGAGGCCGACGAGAGTGTTCATCATCCTCCAGACTTTCATCACCATTCCTAAAGCGTTGGAACCAGGCTCGGCATCGGCTTTCGGACTATACATCATTCCCAAATGCTTTGACCAAATCTCGATGGGATTCCGCGGCTGTTTTGCCCAGTTTGAAGTCGTAAAGTAGGCAGACGCGAACTTGATATTTGAAGTCGGTCATCTAAAGCAAGAAAAAAAGATCTTAAAAATAAGAAATTATCCGTTTAAAAAGACTCCAAATATGCACAAGATAACGTACTTTTAACGTACAAGATAATACAGAAAGACATGTTTTAAAAGCTTCTCTCACAAAAATAAGTTTAGCAACGCTTGTTTATATCCGAACCACCTAATAAATAGATAAATAGCTTGACTTTCATTAGAGTATCTTTATACCTATATTTTAGTTAGCTTTAGCTCTGCTCTAGCTCTAGCTCTGCTTTTTTTGCTACATATTTTTTTACGGAAACAAAATCAGCAGGTTGAATAGGAATTGGAGGACACAAAGACATAGGAACTTATCAACGTACACTGCTCCACATAACTATTTAGAAAGAGCAAATTTTGGCAAAAAAAATCTTTTTATTGTGGCTTTTTTCCAAATAATGCCAATACAAAAATGACATTTGTCACTTTATTTCATGAAATGGCTCATGTGGGCCCAGGAAATTATAACCACTCACAAATTGAAACTACAAAATTTAGAACATTTAATAATGTAATCTTTAGTTCAATGCACTTGTATTTTATAGGACTATCTCATTTGGATCTTTGCCATCGCTTCCTTGGTGATCTTGGCAATTTATATCCAACGTGTGTTTATTGTGCCAGAAATGAAGGCTCGTAGAAGTCCCACAAAAGAACGTCCTGATCAGCCGTCTTATTATCAGAAAGCCTATGAGTTGCTCTCGCAATTTTTCATTGAACAAGAAAACGAGCGAGACAGAAAGGAGAAATAATTTCTTGTTTTGAATAAAGCCTTTAATAATGTATTGATATTTTATGCATTATTACAATACAAAATTCCTATTAAATACAAAAGTTTATTCACTGATTCGCAAAAGTTGAATACGTAAAGAGTCAATCTCGAAGTCTAAGTCGAGATAATCCGAGGCGGCACCCTGGTTGAACCCGACAACGCACACCCATTTCCCCCCACATCGCTTTTCCATTTGTTTTCTGAAATGTTACCGTAAATGCTCTAATCCCACGGATCCCACGGGGTACGATCCCTCAAAATTTTGAGTTTATAGAACTCTTTTTGGTGTAAATTGGTAGATTTCTTCATAAAACTAATAAAATTGGGTTGGTGAATTGAAAACTACGGGACTTTGAACTAAAATTTATTGAACATAAAACCATAAATTCATTCCAAATAATTTCCATTATTATTGACGACTTCTGCCCATTTTACGGGCAATTTGCGGATTCCTCTTTCGTAGTAGGATTTTGGTTTGTGTGTGAGACAAGTGTGAGACTCAAAAATCGAGGACTGGAGATGGAGACTGGAGATCCCAGTTTGAGCGCTTTCTTCAAAAGAAACCCATTTTGGTGTCAATAGAAAAGTTGTAGAGAATCAAAAGTTAGGCTTATAGCCAAATTTCCAAAAAGATACACTTAGTAGTTTCGCTTAAAATGCAAGTTTCGTTGCAAGTTTTGTGAAAATTCGTAAATTTGGCATTTCTTGAAAACCAGTTTTTGAATCGTTCTGAAAATTTGGATATAAGCTTGATTTTTGATTCTCTACAACTTTTCCATTGACACCAAAATGGGTTTCTTTTGAAGAAAGTGCTCAAACTGTGACCGATGACAATAGCCCACGGTTTTCAATTCACCAACCCAATATTTTTGAGAAAAAAATCGTAAGGGGGAGCCACATGGATTTTTAAAAGTCGACCCCCATTTGAAGTTCTAAAAAGGGAAAATTTTCACTCAAAAACGTGTTTTTTTTTTGTACGTTTTCGACCAACCTCTATCCAACTAAATGCTTTTAAACAAATTTACAATTTTCACTTCAGATGGTCCCCACTTACCTGCGATTTTGAGCATTCGAAACAATGAACCCAATGGGCTCTATTAGAGCATTTACGATTTTTATGAGAAAGCTGTTTTTGTCAAGAAATTTTTAGTAAGCATAGGTCAAAGGGCTTTTTAACCGTAATTTGTATATGATTAATCTATCTATTCACTACCGAATCTCTTCAGCGATCTTTTCGGCTGATCCACCCAATAGAATCTCGTTAGCTGCAAGCCTTGTCGCCAGATTCAGTCGCTTTTTATCTGAAACAAGTCTGTAAATGAGCCGTATTGTGAAGAAAAGTCTTGTGAAAAATCTAGGCTAATCTATAAAATAAAAAAAGCATTCAGAACAAGTTTTTCCTACCGCAAGTGACCCTATTAAAGCTATTGCATTTGAATTTAAGATCCGTGATTCGAAACATGAACCGTTCCACTGTGACCTGTGCTCTTTAAAGAAAATTGATGGATAAATCTTTCATTAGATACTTTGCTGCTAAGCACTCAGATACTATTGGCAAATTTAAGAACGTACATACCTTTTGCCTTGTTGACAAATGGCTCGGCTGATGAATCGACTTTGCTTAATAGTTGATTGCTCGCTTTCACCTCTCTTAGCTCCCTTTCCAGTCTCTCATTTTCGGCTTTTAACTTGTCATATTTTCTGAAACGATTCAAATTTGCTTTAGGCGTATTTTGGTAGCTGCTATTGAAGCTTTTCATGAACTACACTAACTAAACGCTACTGACTTTGATTTATTTTCCACGTAGGACATTTACAGCTATAAGAAAATAGATTTGGTGTGGCAGAGTCATTTTGGTTACAGTGAGTAAAAATCTTCAATAGCGATTAGTCAACTTTTCCTTACTTATCACTGTTTGTGAATGTCTCTTGTAACGAGTCGAACTGTTCACTCTCTTCAACTCTTTTCTTCGCCCGCTGGTCGTTTTCAGCACTTAATCCCTCTGAAGTTTTCATTAAAATCTTTGCCCCAAGACATTATTTACGTATTTTCTCAAAAATCGTCTGTGCTTGTCGTTGCCATTTCTGGGCTTCCTTCTCCATTTTGTCCTTATCTCCGACGCCTTTCTCTTGCACCTCGTTGAGTTTCTCTTTTAAGCCAGCCAACGAGAATTTCGTTTCGCATCCCAATTTGTAGGAAGCGATTTCGTTCTATGAACTGTGAAATTGCAAATAGACATAAATTACCGTAATCATGCGTTCGATTTGCTCGCTTTTGTAGGCGTTGAAATACTTTTCGAGTTGCAGAGAATCGAGGAACTCGAAAGTCATTGTCAGCTCTTCGACCAGCTCGCGAACTTTGCCAATAAAGTGGAGACTCGCTTTTCCCTGTGCCTCCGTGATGAAGCTCTCCATTTCGTGATGGTCTTGCACATAGGAGCGACTCTAAACGTTTTTGGAGTAAAGTTTTAAAAAAAATTTATATCTATTTGAATGTTAAGTCTTCAGAGGCTACAGAGGCTCCAGAGGCTACAGAGACTCCAGAGGCTACAGAGGCTCCAGAGGCTCCAGAGGCTACAGAGGCTACAGAGGCTCCAGAGGCTCCAGAGGCTGCAGAGTTAATGTTCCTGGAGACAATTAGCAGTAAAAGCTTGTAGCTTCGTTAGTGATGGCATTGCATGAATGGTTAATGAATGAATAATTTTATTGCTTCTTAATCAGTTTTACAAACTAAATTTCTTATGAGAAGTTCAAAAAATTTTGGATTTTCTTAGGCACCCAATTCTGTGGACATTTGGGACTGATTTTTAAAGCTACAGTACCGGACAAAAATATGGGAAGTTCCGGATCTTTCCCCAACTTTGAAGCACTATAACTCGAGAACTATACACTGAAGACTATAAGTGTTATAGTGATTCTGAAATCTTGAAATGAGATCTGTCAGTTGGATTTTATTTATTTGATATTTCATTTTCTGATTCGCTTTAATTTTTAACCAATTTCAAGACGCGCAAAGTAGAGCGTCAAAAATGCACTTTTTCGACAAACTTTTTTTTAATGGCCAAGTCAATCCCCGGACTTGAATATTATTGAGCACATGTGGCAGGAACTTGAGAGAAAAACAAAGAATCTCCGTTTCAGTAAAAAAATTGGACGCTCTACTTTGCGCGTCTTGAAATTGGTTAAAAATTAAAGCGAATCAGAAAATCAAATATGCCAACTTATAGATCTCATTTCAAGCTTTCAGAATCACTATAACACTTACAGACTTCAATGTATAGTTCTAGAGTTACAGTGCTTCAAAGTTGAGGAAAGATCCAGAACTTCCCATGTTTTTGTCCGGTACTGTATATTACAGTGTATTACGGTACTGTACATAATACAGTGTATTACGGTACTGTACATAATACAGTGTTAGGAGTGTCATTATTTCCCTTTCTCGGCCTGTTTGAAAATACAAATTGACAGAGAAAAAAAACACATTTCTATTTGGCAATTTTTCTTGAACTTCTACTACAGTTAAAGAGCTGTATATTTCTCTTTAAGTTTTAAGTTTACGATGGAATTTCTTACAGTACATAAGGTGACATCACTAAATAAATGCTATATTTGTCCTTACATCTTCGAGTGATTTCCGGACCACCCCAACCAATTCGTTTCCCAGTCGCGTTCTGCTTGTTCGATAGAATTTCGAGGCAACTTCTCGTTTTGTGGCCAGAAAATGTTCCTACAATTATTACAATAACTTTCAATGGACAATTTCCACCTCGATTTTCTTGTCAAGCTCTTTTCTTTTTGCTTTCACCAACGGTCCTTCATCGTCAATAAAGTAATTTGTACCTAAATAGTCTAAGTGATCATAAAGCGTTAGAATATACGTTTATCGAATAGCTCGAATGCTTCTGAGCGAGCTTTTTTATGCCGAGAGAGAAGCTCATTGAACTAAAAAAAAACATTTTCAAAAAGCTATTCAGAAGAACCGTCTCGGCGCTATCATCCACTTCGCAAAAGAGATCTGCAGCTTTTAACTAAAGATTCTTTCTTTCTTTCTTTTTACTTAATCTAGAAAATCACTTTTGCTGCCTGAACATATGTATCAACACCATCTTTTAAAGCTTCCACGAATAACACATCTCGATATCGAGCCAAATGGTGGTTGATCTTACTTTTGATCTTTTCCTAGAGTTGTAGGCGTAGAAGAGTTTAATAGAATTTAAGTAGAATAGACAATAAACAAACATTTAAAGCTTTCCTGAAGCTTTCCTGCTCTAAAGCCTTTGTCTCTTTCTTCCCATACTTTTGCATAGAATCATAGGTCTAAAGTTTGTTATTTAAAGCTGAAAACTTTACAATTTACCTCATAAGCTTTCTTTCGAGCAATATCCAACTTCCCAGCAAAATCTTCGGGTGGAATTCGTTCACTATTCGAACCAAGTAACTAAAAAGCACAATGAATTTCTTTGTCAAGAGCTACCTCTTCAGCTGTTTCCTGGAAAGTTTGCATCCCATCCTGCTGGGCTCGATCGAAGAATAATCGGGTGGTGGCCTAAAATGGTTTCAGAAGAAAAAAGCTACCAGACTTATCAACGTAAAACGCTTAATTCAATTATATTTTCATAGAATCCGCCATATTTTCATAAAATCAGCATAAATTGATCTAAAGTTTGTTTTTTCTAAATTTGAATACCAGTTAGAGTGCCTCTATTAACATTCCCTCTATTAACTATTAACATGCCTCTACTTACAAGGGGAGGCTACAAGGCTGATGTGACCAAATGACATGAGCCATAGACCATCCGACGCAGAATTTCACGCTGAATCCGAATCTGCTTTTCGTTTTTGCAAAATGGCACTCTATCAAAAGTTATAAGCGTGAAAAGTTTTGTCTGGTATTGAAAAAATCACCCCTCGAGTTTATAGGCAGATTTCCCAGGGTCTTTAAGGAGCAGTGGTGGCCGAGTACTAGTCGGCTAGAATACAAGGCAACCCTCTCGGGTTCGAGTCTGGAGTTTAATTTCGTTTTTTTGCTTTTCTAGAGGTAATTGATCTCCATTTCAAATACAAATCTTTTTCAAACTACTTTTTATAAAAAATGTTTACTTTTAAGTATAAACATTGGTACTACGCGGTTTTAAGGTTTAAGCACAAAAACCTCCCATCACAGCGTATGAGCGCCCACCTTGGAGCCCGGAAACAGGGCTTAAAACGTTTTTTCCCAAGTGCTCGTTGTGTTTTTCGGAATCTACGCCTAAAACTACTCCAGAAAAAGTGGTTTTGAAGAAAAAAAAGAGCTCCCCCCCAAACCGGCGTAGTACCAAAACTTTTGATAGAGTGCCATTTTGCAAAAACGAAAAGCAGATTCGGATTCAGCGTGAAATTCTACGTCGGATAGTCTATGGCTCATGTCATTTGGTCACATCAGCCTTGTAGCCTCCCCTTGTAAGTAGAGGCGATGTGTTCGTCGACTTTATACGGTAGTAACCTCTAAAGCTTAGTTAACCTCTAAAGCCGAGCACATTCCTTTCTTTTCCGCGTTTTGGCAATGCGTGACGATTGACTGAATACGTTAAAGCGCTAAAGAATGACGATCTTAAACCACTTGAACATATGCCTTCAAAGAGTTGCCCGTTAGTGGATCGTTTCCAAGCATTTTCGGTGAAATTGTCTCCAAAATGTGATTCGCGCAAGCGCTCATGTTTTCCAGGAAGTCCTTTCCACAATCTGTAAGATATTTATTCCTATAATGCAGGGGATAGAAAGAGTTAAATAATATTTCAAAACAAATTAGATGTTTACCCATTGCCCGGATTTCACTCGATCCACTGATCACCGATTCGCTGGGACGAGGAATCGTACAAGCGGTCACACTTGTAAATGCCCCACAAATGCTCTCCCAAAAGGATTGCATTTGGACGCTTTTCTTTGTGCTTTTCTAGAAAGGATAATTAATTAATTTCAAAAAAATTGTCATTGGATTACCTATTATTAAACTTTTCGTTTTATATTGGGTTGTCCAGTTATGGATGCGCGTTTTCACTATTTTGTAAATTTCTCAAGATATCGAACAGATATTTATGAGTGTTATATATCATTCGAAAGCTGAAGATCTCCTCTACATTTTGGAATAAAAAAGTTTTTGAATTCATTCAACTTTTTGGGAAATTGACTGCACAAAGGGAGAGGTCGTTTTCGAAAAAATCCATTCCAGCTTAGCTATTCCTCAAGTTTTATGGTGTAAAATAACCGTCCAGAAAAGAAAAGGAAAGTAAAGATGCTCTGAAATTGTTATATTTTAAAAAAAGTTGTATTGATATATCTATTGGCCAAATATCAAACGGTTAACTCGATTTGAGAGGAGCCAAAACTTGATCCAAAGGCACCCTTCCATTTTTTTGGCCACCTCTTCTCCTGTGCAGTCAATTTGCCCAAAAGCTGAACAAATTCAAAGACTTTTTATATCAAAATGTAGAGGAGATCTTCAGCTTTCGAATAATACTCATATATATCTTTTTCTTGATTTCGGTATCTTGAGAAATTTACAAAATAGTAAAAAACGCGCATTCATAACTGGACAACCCAATAGAATTGTAAAGCTGTTTTATATTACCTTTAAATTCTGCAGATAGAGCTCGCCTCCCTTCAACCCGTGTGGTTCAATTGGGGCATCACGTACCAGAAACAAGAAATCCTGAAGTCACTTGCTACTTTTGTTGTTTTATTTGTTTTCATATCTAGAATTCTTCTTTATTTAACGGATTTGAGGATTGGACCAATAACTTTTTAGAGTACAGATAGTAAATTAAGCAATGCGTAGCCTATCTTGCTAGTTCTGTTTTTTTTAGGATCAACCTGTCCGACTCGATCACTATCATAGCAGTCCAGTTGACTGAAAGCTATGAAAACGCTCAACGAGTCTAAATCTTTCGCATCAAGTGGTTGAACGGCGTTGAAGATCTATAAACTTTTTCAATGGTCAGTTTGAATACAAACTTTTCTAGAAGACAGTAGCAGCGAAAGGGCAAAGATTGTCGTCGAATCTTGCATCTCACTTTGGAGATCGAATGTCCCTTGTGTGTCGATTAAAAGTACGGCAATCTGAGTATTCAATTTCAAAATTCATCGAGACTTTTTACATTATTCCCATTTTTATCCTTTCGAAAGAAGACCTCTGACCAGACCATGATTCCGCGAGTGTCTCGATCCTGTCCACATTGAAAAGCGAATCCGTCGACTCCTCTGAAATTATATTACTATGGATGTTTATGTTTATGTTTAGTGGTTAAATGGGGTAGAATTGTTTAGTTTAATTTCAGGGATGCTTTATTACTGTTGAAAGTTCTCAAAGAAGCAACCCAATTTGGATGGCTAAACTGTTACTATCTATTCTATTTTGTTTTTATTTTGTTACTATAAAAATTCGCAAAAGAAAAGCACTTAAACTAACCCAATGATCTCGTCGTCCTCGAATTTGGCCACCTCCTTTCTCAGTCCTTGTAGAAGCACGTTATTCCAAAACGTTTTCCCTTTGCGAAATTTCCCGGCTGTTGAAATCACAGCCACCTTACAAAAATACAGTATTCAAAAATCAACAAAGTTCACATTTTTTCCGTTAATCTGTTGACATAGATTATCGAGAACGTCTTCGTGTAAGTGTAATTGTCCGGCATTCACATCGATCAACGTTCTTGCCTGAAAGTTGATCAATGTCGAAGTTGCTAATTATGCCAATTGTAAATATTTTGTAAAGTAACTTACGTAATGCTTTGTCATTTTAAATACAAAAGATAATTTAATATTAAAAATAGCGCTATAGAATTGTGCTATAGAAGCTAAGAAGAAAAGGATTTTGCCAACAAAACGCTCTCACAAAGGGGCTGGACTTGGAGTGAGAGATAAAGGAAAAGCTTTTGCTGGCATTCCTGATCGTTTGTACAGTTAATTCAAGAATTTTGGCAACTTGAAATGGTTGCTGAAGAGTTCGAAGTGATCTCTCAAGTGGGTTTTCAAAAGCTATAGCGTAAATTCCGTATTTAGAACGGAGTTGTGGTTGATGTAGAGGCAGAGGTCGATAAACTCCACGCTCTCTTTCGAGAGAGAACAAAAGTAAGCATTTTCAGAGATAGTAACCTTCAAATTTAGAAAGATAAAGATAATATTTTAGTTGATCCATTCACTAAAAGATCCGAAAGAACTTGAGGAACAGCAAGTGAATGTGGCGCGTCAAAACCTATTTAGTGAACTGGCCGTAGGTGAAACGCGATATAATATAAAATTTCCTTTTAGAAGCTACCATTTCAAGAACGAGCTTTAGCACGTTTGAAGATCAATTTTAAAAGTGATGAGGTAGTTGTTTTACTGGCATCGTACATTCAAAGAGTTTAGTGCAATAAACTTGTGGAGGAAGCTGATGATGATGATGATGATGATGAGGGGATTGAGGAGGAAACTGTTGAGGTAGATTTGTGGATGATCTAACGAAAAATAGTCCCATATTTGCTATATTTGCTTTAATAGAATTGTGTCTTTCGCGAATATTAAATTAAAGTGATCAAAAGCTTGCCTAAATGATAAATTATAAAATGTTATTTTCAATTTATGAAAAAAATTAGTAGCAACTGAAAAAATCATCAAGCTATTTTCGAAAAAAACCTTTTTTTGGTCTTTTAGAGTTATTTTCAAATGTTTTCAATTCAAAAGTTCTATATTTTTGATTCGTTACCAGGCTAAATAAGGCGCATTGCAAAATGATAGGACCACCCCTAAATTCTACAAGCTGTTCATCAATCAAAACAAATGGGAACGAAAAATTTATTACTAATCAATAGAGGCCCCATTTTTCTCGATAACGTCCAGTATTCGATTTTTCATCGAGTTCATCAAGTTTTGAAGCGTTTGTGGTAAAATTGATGTCCAAGCTTGCAAAATGGCTCTTTTGAGTTGCGAAATCCTGTCGTAAGTCTTCCCATTAGCATAAATATTCCGCACAAAGATGCCCCACAAGCGTACTATTGGGTTTAAGTCCGGTGAGCAGGCAGGCCATTTGAGAAATTTGATGGTGTGACGTCCCAGGAAAGCTTTAGTGGATTGGCTGGCATGAATTGAAGCATTATCCTGTTGAAATATGTAGTTTTTCCCTTGGTTTTGCGCCAAGAAAGGAAGAAGTTGATCTGCAAGGACGTTCTGGTAATCGTTCAAGTTCATGTGATAAGTCACAAATTCTAAATCAGGAACGTCGTTCACATTGAAGGCGCCCCATACCCATACCATCAGTAATCCTCCTCCGAAGTTTCGACACCCACAAAGCATTGGATCCTTTCTCAAATTGTGCCAATAGTACTTGTTGCCGTCCGGACCATCCAAATTAAATTTTTTTCTCATTGCTGAAGATGGCCTCCAAAGAAAAAAACAGTCAACAACTCAAGACAAAAAGTGTACTTTTTTCCAATCGATGGTGATGTGATCCCGAGCCAAAGACGTCCTTCTTTCTTTGTGTGCCGGCTTCAGTTTTGGTGCTTTCTTCATGAGTGCTCTTTTGATGTAACGGATGTAACACTTTATGGCTCGAGAAAGAGTGCTTTTGTGGACGAAAGCTCCAATCGGTACCTTGACTTCCTGTAGCGACATCACCGAATTCGACAACAGACCACCATTATGCCGTTCAGCGCGGACCGTGAGCTTTCGATGACGTTCCGGAAACTTCTTCTTGCCATAATTGAAAAGATCTTTCAAGTAATTCGCGACAACTTGGTGCGAGCGCTTCATTTTCTTTGCGATCTTCCGATTCGACAATTTTCTTCCTTTCAAAATCGCGATTTTCATCTGTTCGACCCGCGAAAGCGATTTTCCATGCCCCACCTTCCTAAAAAATAAAAATTAGTTTGAAAAAGAAGTAGAACAAGCAAAAAAGATAATGGTTATTACAGGTAGAAAATGAACAAGAAACGTGGTGTTTTTATCGTTTTGCTCTCAATTTTAGCCAATGTAAATTTTCTTTCATATACTTTAGCTACTTTTGTGGCCTGCTGATTTTGTGCCATGAAAAACTTATATTGCGTAATAATATCAAAGCGAATACGGTAATTTACAGAAAGACGGACTCGAACAGCTTTTCAATATCGATGAACATGGGAAAACCTACTTCAACGAGAAAGTTCTTGACGACCTTTGCCGGCAAATTGGGAATCGAAAGGTTGAAAAATAGATAAAATAAATCAATTTTGCGTAGGTTGCTGTGATTTCAACGGCGGGCAAATACCGACAGGGAAAAACCTTTTGGAGCAATGTTTTGCTGCGTGGATTGCGACATGGAGATGCGAGATTTGAAGAGAACGAAGAGATCGGGTCAGTGACAATTTTGTGGCAGAGGTTAAAACTGTATTTTATTTAGAGGCAAGAATGGCATCCATTACAAGATGAGCTACGATGCTCATACAAAGGGAATTATGGTGTGGCCAGAGATCTACACTAGGAAAATCAATGGGGAAGAGGTTAGTAAACAGTTTTAGCTCAAAATTTTAAGCAGTATCTCTAAAAACTCCTAATACTCTAAATAGTTTGTAGAAATTCACAGTATTAAGTAAGTTCAGGTAGCTGTGATCCTTCTCGATACCCAGGGCACATTTGACATGGAGACGGACACTCGGATTTCAGCCGTTATTTTTGCCATTTCTCTCTTAATGTCTTCTACTCAAGTATGCCCAACCTCTGATCACTCAATTAATTGAATTCCCAGATCCTTAACATCAAGGGTTGGATTGGGGCCAACGATTTGGATGCCTTGAATGTCTTTCTCGAGTTCAGCCGCGGTGAAAGCGATAAGTGCGGCCAAGTGAGTGCTATTTCGTTGAGAAAAACATAAAGAATCAGGACTTTGTGCTTCTTCTTCGAGATATCCCCGACAAAGAAAAAGACGGGAAAATCTATGGACTAAATGCCTCCTATCTAACGGACTTGAGGGTTAGAGCAATTTGCTTTTTAAATTATGATTGAAAATTCAGACAAAAACTGGCCAAGTCGATTCGCTAAGACAATTGGTGAAGGGAATGGAGGACGCTTTTGAGAAAGTTGAATGCTGTCTGGTTCCTAATCCGGCTGATGCTGTTCTAAAGTCTTCTGCAGGGATTCGAGCAGCTGGTTCTAATAGGTTTCTAACTTAAAACAGAGTATTCAGCTTGTGGAAAACCTTTTCTCGACACGCTGAGCAACTTAGCCAATCATCTTTTGCAAAACCTTCGTCCAAAGATGTTTCGCGAGAGTGCACTGACTGGACACACTTTGAAAGAATATGTTCAAGTTTGAGTTAAGGAGAATGCTATAGTATTGCTTGGTGTTCAGAATCTCTGCACGATCATCAAAAGCAAGGAGTGCAGAAGGGAGATCGCCTCGGCTTTTGATGTAACTTAACCTAAATGGCTTTGTTTAGGCGTTTAGGCATTGAATGTTTAGGCGACGGTAAACTTGTATCTGGAAAAAGCTCTTGCGACTGGACTAAATTCTTTCAATGGCTCTTGTGATCAAGTAAAATCCTTTTCGGTTCAAAAATCTGTTTTTAGTTTGCCAGAGACAATCACTATCAAGCAGTGCCGCCGGGGGTCTTTGGAGAGGCTCTAAAAAGCTTTAAAACAAAGGCCGAAGAGGTGAATTCCGTTGCTAATTTCTAGAAAACTTGTTTAGGCCTACAATGGAGTCAGTCGTTTCGGTGGACCTTCACTCAAACAACAACAATTCAAAAAGTTCAGTGATTCGATTCAGGTTTGTAAACTGAATCAAATAAAAAGGGAACCTATCTAGGAGAAAGTCGATGACAAAGTTCAACACAACGGCGAACGGTACAAAGATTCCAAAGTGGCAAATGCCGTCAACGATTCATATAGCAAATATGAGAAAATGATGAAAGTGGGCTACCCAACTGAACTGTACATAAGCTTTGTATTCAGCCAGATCTTCTTTCTCAATTGCAAGGAGCAGATCGAATCAAACACGTACAAGGACAACACGACGAGGCGCGAAAGGCAGCCATGCAACATTTCGAGAGCGGTAATTTTGATCGGCTCATTACTAGGAAAACAATTTAGATATTTAAGTTTTCTAGAGAAAATTTTTGCTTATCGAGTAGTCGCAAGTTGATTTTTTCAGAAATCAGTGAATTTGGTGGAGAGCCGGTGATCGTCGAGAAAAGGGACATTTTGAAGAAAATGATTGAGGTGAATGGAAAAACAACTTCTGACCAAGTTTTTAGGATCGTTATGAAGATTTGCAAACAAACAACGCAATTCAAGGCGTTCAAGAAATGGCGAGGGAAATCGTCGAAAAGACAGCGCAAGAATTTCAAACAATCCTGGCTCAGGTGAAAAAGATGTCTGTAATATAAACCAAATTTAGTCATTGTCTGGTTTGGTCGACGAGACATCGATGGAGTTGAGTGTGACAAAGGCTCGCATGCGGATTGAGTCCACTTATGGGCTACACACTCAAACTCTCCTCGATAATCCCGGATTGGCAAAGCTTGACAAGAAAACGGTCGAGGCTTTTCTCAACAACTTCAAACAGGCTCGACTCGAAACGCAGCTAACAGTAAGCTTGAAAGCTTCAATGCTTGAAAAATGTTAGAGTTTTCTTTAGAAAGAAGAGGCTCAATTCAAAAGCCAAGCTCAATTGTTTTTGGCCGGTAAAGTGACCGAGAAGAAAATAGCCGAACTTCAAAAACATGCCACTGAAGCAGAGGAGGCGTTCAGTCGAGAGAGGGAGGATCATGAGAGACGAATGAAAAACAACGAAGACCTCATTGGTTAGAAAAGTTTATGCTATAAGATACAGGATCTTTAGATGCTGAGAAAAAGAGATCAGAAAAGCTGCTTGAAGAAGCCAAAGAGGACATTGCCTTCAAGAAGGAAATGCAACGGTTGCGGCTAGAATTCGAAATGAAGTAAGTGTATTCTCTCTAAAGAAATACTGTTGCTATAGAAAAGACGAAAACGAGAGACTCGGCGAGTTGAAAAAGCAGGAAATGATTAACGCCATCGAGGAAAAGCGAATCAGAATGCAGTAAGTGATTGGAATGAAAATGAAAGAAACTTTTTAAATATTTGTGATAATAAGCTGGCTACTAGTTACTAAATTTGATTCAGATGCAATACTATTCTAGAGAGACAGCGGCTGCAGCTCGTGCCCGGCAAACCGACGAAGAGCTGCGACAAACCCAAAAAGCAACCGATATGCGATTCCAACAAAACAAAGAGCAAATGCTTTATGAAAAGGTGATGGATCATTATTAAAATTAAAGTACAAAGTGTTTAGGAAATTCGGATAAATCAGCTAAAAAGAGAGGAAGCGGCCGAAGCGGCAAAACGAGAGGCCGATGAGAAGAGAGAAGAGGTGGGGTAGAAAATTTATTAGGTTGATAACTAAGTCTTTAGTAGGATTCCAAAATCAAATTTTATTGACAACCAAGCAAACAAATCTTTAGAAACTCATACATTATCTTCTATTATTCTGTGAAAAATTTTAATCAAGACTTCAGAACATTTCATGGTAGAGATCCTGAAAAGGATCAAATTAGGAGAATTTACCCTTTATTGGCTCCCAACTTTGGGATGCATTTTTGATGGTTAAATTTAGGCAAATAAAATTGTTCAAAAGTGTGGATAGTAGCGTTTAGCTCCTAGTTTAACTTAGGTGGAGTCAAAAATTTATAGTGTTGCTCGTTCTTTTAATCCAGAGCTCAAAAGAAGAATATCAGTGGCAAAAGGTTGTTGGCTAAAAATTCACTATCAACCTAATATGATTAGGCAGACGATACAAGCTTTACCTGTTAACTTTTATTCAACTTATTGATTGCTTTTATTTGAACTGTAGAACTTAAGTTGCTTAAGCAATGGACTCACTAAAGATAGGTTCTATAACGATTAGCGAGAACATTTCACTTTCAGAGAATGCACGAGCAAGAGCTTCGCCAACTCGAGGCGGCCAGCAAGGAAAGACGTGAGAAACTGCAACAAGAGCACGAAGCAAAGATTCGAGAAATCGTTGGTTAATTTTACTTTAAAATTAGCAATATTTTAGGAAAGACTGGCTGCCAAAGATGCAAAAGAAGCGGCGGAAATTGAGGCAACAAAGGCGGCGAACGCTCAACGACACGCCGCTGAAATGAAACGCCTTGATGAAGAGACGGTATAAACATATATAATTGTTGTTTAGCTAAGCAATGCAATTCATAAAGAGTGAATTCGCATTTAGACAGCCCGAATCGAGGACCAAAGGATTGCCCAAGCAGAACAAAAGGAAAAGATTCGTGCTGAACGAGAAAGGGCTGATGTAAGGCCAAATTGAATAACAAAGACAAAATTTCTAGCAACAAGCCAAACGGGAAATGGAAGCTATTCGAGTTAAAAACGAGCTCGCAAGAAAGAAACTCGAAATGGAAGAGAAACGAGAAGCGGATCGATTGGTTGGATGAGCTTTTTTTGCTTAAACGTCTTGTCGAACCATTTTTAAGTTTGAAAGTCTTTCAATGATCTCAATGATCACATTTTTCTTCCCGAGACATCAGAGTTAATTGTTTTCCTTTAGTTTACAACATTTTTGGAGAATTCGCCAAATTTTAGGCGGCCGATAAAGTGAACAAAGCGAGAGAAGCGGCTGAAAGAGAAGCGGCCAGCAAGCACAAACGGGAAATGGAGGACAAGGAACAGAAAAAGAGACACGAGAAATGGTGGCAGAAGATCATTTAGAGATTGCCAACTTTTTTGTATTGTACGTCTTATAATTACGTTATTTGCTGATATCTAAATAATTTTGAAATGATGAATAGCTTGTGTTTAACGCTTGATGTAACTCCTTTAAATAAAGATTTTTTTAAAATTGTCATCAATTTATCACAAAAACAAGTAAATTGAAGAGAGTAATGCTAAATATCTAAAAGTATGGTTTATTCAGCCTTCGGCTCGGAAGCAGAAGTTGGTGAAGTTGCCGCTGTGGCTGCAGCACCAGCAACGGATAACGCCGAGACAGCCGCACCACCAAGACCGGGCACCACTCTGAAAGCAATCAACTTAAACAAAAAGAATTTGAGAATGAAATATAATTCGTAGATTTCTTGAAATCCCAGCAGAGGATTTGTTGTTTGGTTAAAAGTTGGAGACTGAGAATAAAGCTGTGAGTGTACTGTTGGCACACATATTGGGTTGTCCATTTATGAGTGCGCGTTTTTACTATTTTGTAAATTTCTCAAGATATCGAACAGATGTATATGAGTGTTATACATCATTCGAAAGCTGAACATCTCCTCTACATCTTGGAATAAAAATGTTTTTGAATTCATTCAACTTTTGGGAAATTTACTGCACAAAGGGAGAGGTCGTTTTCGAAAAAACCCATTTCAGCTTAGCTATTCCTCAAGTTTTATGGTGTAAAATAACCGCTCAGAAAAGAAAAGATGCTCTGAAATTGTTATATTTAAAAAAAAGTTGTATTGATATATCTATTAGCCAAGCATCAAACGGTTAACTCAATTTGAGCGGAGCCAAAACTTGATCCGAAGGCACCCTTCCATTTTTTGACCATCTCTTCTCCTGTGCAGTCAATTTGCCCAAAAGCTGAACAAATTCAAAGACTTTTTATATCAAAATGTAGAGGAGATCTTCAGCTTTCGAATAATACTCATATATATCTTTTTCTTGATTTCGGTATCTTGAGAAATTTACAAAATAGTAAAAAACGCGCATTCATAACTGGACAACCCAATAAAGTGGACGTTGAATCAAATAGCTTGTAAGTTAAAGTTTATGGTGTTTCACTTAATAACATCAACATAGCTTACTCAAACCAAAAATTCCTCAATTTGCTCCCAAATTTGCTCCCAAATTTTCCCTCATAAAACCTTAAAGCTTCTCCAATCACTCACAAGGGCAATCCGATGCTCACCACCGATTTGAAAGCCGATGAATAGAACTCTTGATCCTGTTTGCGCTTTTCGAGTCGCGCTTTCTCCTTCATTTTCTTCTCTTTTTGATCGCACATCATTTCGTTGCTTTTGAGCAGGGTACTCTATAAATTATTCCAATGAGCCAGCTATTCTCTCTAACCAATTTTTCCCTCTCGAGCTGTAAGAGATTTTCTTTCAACTCTCGTTCGACCTGAACACCCTTTTCTCTTTCCTCAGCTTCCCGTTGAAGTCTAAAGCTTTCAATCATGGAGGATCATTTTACAACAATTGCTTTTACCAAAATATAGAGCACCAATAATCTTTTCAAACCTCTCTCTTTCGGCTCTAAAGGCCTCATCTTGTCTCCGTCGCTCGCTTTCCTCTTTTTCCCTCTCCATTTTCTGTTGATTGAGTAATTGTTGCTGAAATAATTACTATCAATAATCTAGATAGATTTTACATGTTGAAATTCCTGTTTTCTCATCTCGAGTTGATGAGCCCGGTGAGCTTCTTGCTCTTTTGCATGTTTCTCTCGTCTTGCCTCATCTCGCTCCTGTTCGGCTCTTCTGAATGGGTAATGATAAAGTAAATAAGTCAAGGGTAAACAATAAACGATTAACTAATTTATCTATTGCTAGCAAGAAAAGTCTGACACAAGTTTCGTAGTGGTGGTACCCCAAAAAAGAAAAAATATCTCGCAATTGAGAGCTAAATATTTAGCCAATAATTCTCAAATGTTCGGAATCTCCTAAGAAATTCTATTGAATAAGATGTCTTACGTTTGATCTGTCCATCTGGCCAGTGACTTTCCCTTGTAAGTTTGCTAACCTTTCCTCTCGTTCCCTTTCCTGTCTCTCTTGTGCTTGCCGTACTGCTTCTTTCTCGCGCCGTGCTTCATCCTCTCTTTCAAGTCTAAACCTCTAAGTTTCGGGTAAGATCTTAAAATATTGGGTTGGTGAATTGAAAACTGCCGGCTATTGTCATATGTGACAGTTTGAGCACTTTCTTCAAAAGAAACCCATTTTGGTGTCAATGGAAAAGTTGTAGAGAATCAAAAATCAAGCTTATATCCAAATTTTCAGAACGATTCAAAAACTGGATTTCAAGAAATGCCAAATTTACGAATTTTCACAAAACTTGCATTTTAAGCAAAACTACTAAGTGTATCTTTTTGGAAATTTGGCTCTAAGGCTAATTTTTGATTCTCTACAACTTTTCTATTGACACCAAAATGGGTTTCTTTTGAAGAAAGTGCTCAAACTGTGACATATGAACATCTCCAGTCCTCGATTTTTGAGTCTCACACTTGTCTCACACACAAACCAAAATCCTACTACGAAAGAGGAATCCGCAAATTGCCTGTAAAATGGGCAGAAGTCGTCAATAATAATGGAAATTATTTGGAATGAATTCATGGTTTTATGTTGAATAAATTTTAGTTCAAAGTCCCGCAGTTTTCAATTCACCAACCGAATAGAAATTATGGTTGCTAACTCGCAAAAAAATCATAAACACTGGTGGGGGACACTCGAAATGTATCGTTACTAGTATTCTGAAAGGCAACACTGCAAGGATCACTAATAATGGAAATTATTTGAATTACAGAACTACAGAAGTCGTCAATAATAATGGAAATTATTTGGAATGCATCGTTGTTTTTATGTTGAATAAATTTTAGCGCAAAGTCCGGCAGTTTTCAATTCACCAACCCAATAGATTTGGCTAGAACTTCAACTAGAAACTCAATTCAATGTCTTCTTACAGTTGACTATTCCTAAACAAGACTACCACCTCCTCTCCTCGAGTCTCTCCTGACGTTGTCTCTCGCGTTCAGCCCTTTCCTCTCTTTCCTGTTGCTCTCGTCTCTCGCGATCTCGATCCGCATTTCCTTGACTCAATTGCTAAATAATGTTTTTATATTTTTAACATTTTATATGTATAAACCAAAGCTTTCATCATCTGTTCAAGCATTTCCCTGTCTTTTGCTTGATGTTCTTCACGTCGTCGGCGTCGATCTTCACATTCGTTCTCCTCTACCCTTCTAAAATTGAGTACAAGAATTCGATTTCAGTCATTTAATCAACCTTTGTGCTTCTAGGTCTTGTCGAAGTTTCTCTTGTTGCATTTGCATTTCTTGTTGAAACTGTTGAGCATCTTGTCGCCTCCTAAACAATGGAAATCAGTTCACGAAATAGGCTAACCTATTCTCATTTTCTTTCTCTTGTTTCAAAAGCTTTTGGCTCATTTCTTCTCTTTCGGCCTCATTTTCTTGGTGCTTTTTCTCTGAAAAGAAAAGAAAAGTTTTGCCAATAATTTGCAGCAAAGTATTACCAATTTTGTCAAGAAGATCCGTGTTTGCTTTCTCAATGTTTTTCAAGTCATTGGCCAACTTTTCCGTGTGAATATTGTTCAATATTCGATCAGTGAAATTCTGATTAGCTCTCTGAAAACAATTAGCAGCTTATTAGGTAGCTTATTAACTAAAAAAAATTTGTTAGCTAACCGAAATCAACGGCTGGAGATTTGTCTCCTTGAACGAATCGACAAAAACTTCCAGAGAATCGATTCTCGCAAGATTTACATCAGAGAGAAGGCCATTTTTACATTCAGCATAAAATAGTTCGAGTTGTCTATTCGCATCACTGATCGCCGAAGGGATTCCTCCTTCCGTTTTCACTTTTTTGTCCATTTAAAACGGCAAATTTTGTCTATTACTTCAAACAGCTTGCCTTTGAAAGTATTTTCTCGTACTTCTCTCCACAGTTTTGCACTATTTTCCGAGCTAGGCTTTGAATATCACGGATCGCGTTATCATGGCATAAACTCTCGAACATTGCCTAGAATATTTTCGAAAAGATAAACGATTTTATTTAACGTCAATCATTTTGCTCAACGCTTCACGTTTTTGACCAATGAGTGATAAGTTTCCAAGGTCGCTGACTCCTAAAAATTGATTTAACACCGAAAATAAAGAATTTAACCATTATCGTAATGCCCCAGAGCCATTGATCTCGCAACGGGATGCTTTTGTTGGATCTTTTGCAACCTTGACTCATCTCCCAAGGAGAGGGCCAAGTCGGGCTAAATCTTGACGATTTTCATCATTTCAAAAAGATTACTCTCATTTCTGCTTCATATTTTGCATAAGCTTCTTGAATCAATGTGGCCACTTTTGAGTCTCGATAGCGTTGGTCGTTGTGCTCGTATTTCTGTTGGCATTTTTGCTGAAATGGGTCTAATTAGGATAAAAAGTCCATTTCAAACCTTTAGCTTCTAATCAGTTACTAAACCTGATCAGTTTTATTAAGAAAATGTCTAGATTTATGTTAGATCTCTTAAAAGTTTTTCTAAGAAAACCCTTTGTTTTGAAGTTTGCTTTGTTTCTAACGTATTACTTCAATGCTTTCACGGAAACTCTTCTCGTATTCGGCTTTGTTCCTAGCATTGCCAAAACGGGGAGCCGCGTTGTAATCCTAAGAATTCACTTGTCCTTTGTCATCTAATTGATTGAAAACCTTCATGGTGAGCTCTTTGATTCGATCGAGTTCCTCAGCAAGGAGTTTTGGGAGCATTGCTTGATAGCCATTTCTGGCAAATAACTAAAGCTTTACTGGTAAACTAAAGCTTTCCTGATCGATCAGTTTATCAACTCACAGCCTCACATTCGGTGTTAAACCATGCGATAGCCGAATTTTTTGCCTTCTCAAATTGTAGCCTCGAAATGGCCTGTAACTAGCACAATCAAAAGTCTATGCCTTTTTAAAGACCTCAAAAGCATTCCCGATTCCCCGAGTCTCTTTGTGAACGATGTGAATATGGGTGACCAATTGTTTCACATAATTCATCAGAGTTTTCCCAGTCAATGGCACGTCTTTGAATGTTTTTGGCTCAAGGTCGGAAATCATGTAGTTGGCCAGCTCGCAAAGGGAATTCAGGAACTCTTTTTCGCAATCTAATTGAACATTTCAGAGTTTTAGATAAATTTTTACCTTCGGCAGCAATAGCTCCATCAGCATTAGCAACTTTTGAGCCGGGAGTAGGGGCGAGGAAACATTCCACGCGATCGAATCCGTTCATCAACACATTCATCATTTTTCCCAGGTTTTCCACAGAGTTCATCGTTTGCTAAACGATTTTATTTGCAGTTAATTGTTGGCTTCTTACTTGAACTCTTTGCAAATAGGCGTTTCCGGCTTTCAGTCCACAGCCCTGCAAAGCATTTCGAACCAAAATCACGAAATGCTAAATGGAATTCGTCTAAAATACTGCTAGACGATTATACCTGACCCACTTTGTCTTCTTGACTTTTACTAAATTCTATAAAGTAATTTAGCGAATCCATTTCCTGTGCATCGATGTGACCCACGATGTTAAAGACCTATAAACAGGTTGAGGCCAAAGTTTTTAGTTTACTTGTTTTGAAGACATCAGCATTGAGAGCGAAAAGATCACAGCCGAAGCAGAGGTATCCGTTTGAAGATCATAAGTCCCTTGCGTGTCGATGATCAAAACGGCTATCTAAAATATAATTTTAATCTGATTTTCCAGAACAGAATAAGCGTCTTTGATTTCGTTTTTAGTTTGGAGTGAAGTTTAAAGTGTGGAAAGATTACAGTAGTCTAGGGGTAGTCTAGAGGTAGTCTAGGGGTAGGGGTAGTCTAGGGGTAGTCTAGGGGTAGTCTAGGGGTAGTCTAGGGGTAGTCTAGGGGTAGTCTAGGGGTAGTCTAGGGGTAGTCTAGGGGTAGTCTAGGGGTAGTCTAGGGGTATATAAGGTCGGATTTCGGAAAAATTTACATTCTAGCCAATTCAGTAACGATTAAAGGTTTATTGTAGGAGATCGTATGTAAATAAATTGCCTAAATCTCAAAAGAGTTTGGTTCGTAAATGCACAGTATAAAGATAGTTCTGGGATGAAAAAATAGGTGTTAAGTGCAGTGAACGGAGAAAATCTATAGGTTTTAGTGGAAACAAACAGAAACAAAGAACACACATAATGGAAAGATTAAAAACGGATGAAATTATACTTCGTCTCCCATCTTGTCTCTCATGAAGAAGACTTTTGACCAGACCATAATCCCTTGAGTGTGTCGATCGAATCCTGCCTTGAATGTGAAACCATCTTCTCCACCAATCACTTCATGTGGCAGAAATTCGGCCCTTCCTTTCTGTAGACCTCTCAGCAAAACGTTTTTCCAGAAAGTCTTTCCTTGACGAAATTTGCCGGCCGTCGAGAAAATGGCCACCTAAATGGTTTGGCAATAGATTCTTTGGGCAATCAATAGTTTTTATTAATCTTATAACCTCTAATCGTGTTTAAATCTATATCGGTATTCAAAAAATCTCACCTACCGTATTTATTCTAATAGAAGAAGGGTCTCTATTTGAAGAAGGAACTCCAATAGATGACATTCGGGAGTGGGGTTAAAAGATAGAAAAAGGCCTTCTTCTATTAGAATAAATACGGTACTTCGAAATTACCGGTTTATCTCCGATAACTCTACACAGCTCGCCCAGCACTCGCTCGTTCAACCGACTTTCTCCATCGCTTGTGATTTCGATAAGTTGTAATAACTCGCCCCTCTAAACAAGGTATACAAGTAATGGATAAAATTTACCTCCTGCATTTTTTTTTGCTAATGTTAGCTTACAAAGTTATTAATGACTATCCTCTGACTAAAACCCAAGAAAAAGGCTCCGCCCCTATTGTGGTCCTAATTTTGCGCAACGAATTTCACCGGCTCTTCTCTGCTTCTTATCTTTCTTTCCATTCTTTTTGAGGAATTCGTTTCATTGAATTGAAAATTATACAACAAAGCTTTCAATGGGCCATCAAGTGAGTATTTTCAAATAAAAGTATAACAATAAGCTCAGGAATTGCTACCATTGGTGACTTTCGAGAATGGATCGATTCAATTTCGAGATGATGTGGCCAGAGAGACGTTTGCCAGCCCTTTCTATAAGGGGAAAGAGGTTAATTTAAGCAGAAAATATTACAAAATGTTAAAATCTATATTTTTTTTAACAATTTTAATTCTCAGGTTCATCTCGTCAGTGTAATCGGACCGTCGCGTACCGGAAAAAGCTTCCTGATGTCTTACCTGACCAATCAGAGTCAAAATGGAGAGATATCGTGAGTTTCATGCCTTTTAACAGTGAAAATCGTTTAGTGGCTCCTTCCAAGCTGGATATGATCGCTTTACGGAGGGGATTCTCATCTACAAACAGCCAATAAGCTGGAGGATTGAGGATAAAGAGGTAAATTCCGCAAACTACAGTGTTACTAGACAACTGTATTATGTTATGAAAGAGAGATTTTCAGCATTTGATCTTCTTCATTGATTCACAAGGTGTTTTCGATAACGAAACGGATCCAGCCGTCTCTGGGTGGATCGCCGGTTTGACGATGCTCATCTCGGATGTTGAGGTGAAAACCTTCGTTGCAATCTCTATATCTGAAAAAAATCTCCGTCCGTTCGTCCGTCCGACAAAAACCTCCAAATCGGAGGAAACACTAAAACACTACACTAAAATACAAGCCTTTTTTGTTTTGGCACTTTTCATTTGGCTCAGCCGTTTTCGCGGTATGCGCGTTAGAAGTTTTTAAGTCCAACGTTGGCTGACTACATGAATTCCCTCTTTTGTGCTGTGCTCTACCTTGTGCCGTGCCCAACTTGCCCAACGGTCATCGCTGGTCTTTAATAAAAAAATATAGCTTTATTTTATTGGCAGATACTTGGTATTTTGTGTATTTTGAAATTTTGTCTTCTGGACAATCGTCATAATTGTATTTTTCTTTCGTGGATTGCAAGGGTTATATAGGATGGGGTGGTTATATAGAAGAAATTTGGGGAGAAACTTTCTAGTCATTTGGTCATCTGGTCATTTGTCAGCAGTAACGTTTTTCAAAAGTAATAGCCCACTCATCCCTCCCTATTTAGAATCGTAGTATATACGTTTTTGGTAATTGTTTCTGCTGAACAAAAAAACCATTCCTATTTCGAAGTGTACAAAATCATTGTTGAAAGAAATTACCAACGTTGAAGACTTTTAAATAGTTGTCAAGCAGTATATCTCAGAATTTACCTGTCCAATAATTCAGGTGGTCAATCTCCGGAGCAATATTGGTGCTGATGATCTCAGTGAAATTCGACGTTTCGCCGAGTTTGCCTCCGCTTTTCCTGAGCAACAGATGACAAAAGTTCACTAAGCTCTTTCTATTTAAAACCCGCTTACAGAGTCTAGTCTTTTTGCTTCGAGACGCACCAAATTACAATATCAGTGGAGAGGAATTCATTGAGAATATTTGGGTAGATCAATCTTGTTTTCAATTCAATCGTGAATACAGAGACGTTGCTCAACATCGGCCGATCTCTCGGAAATCACGCAAATGATCAGCAATCGTTTTCAGCATATCGGTTGTATTTGTGCCCCGGCTCCATCACATGAACTTCGAATTGCTTCGGGAGCTTTTCGAGTCACCGGTTTGGTTTCACTTGGCACGGGAAGCCATTGGATTGAAATGGTTTCTTACTCTAAAACACAACACCAGTTGTGTTTTGGAAATTTTTAGCGTTTATCTTTTTTCAGAGAGTGACTGGCCCCTGTTAAACGCCTTTGAGGAGCTGAAGAGAAAAGTGATCGATCAAATTTCAACCTACGGAAGCCATCATCCGGTGACAATCGATTATTGCAAAGTGAGTGGAGACAGTAATTAGCATCAAAAGTCCTTAGAAAGCCGCTCAATTTTTTGTTCACGAGGCTCCAAGGATCACCACCTCGGTTCAAGTAATGACTTTTGAATTCATTTAGCCAAAACTTTCATAGGTGATGACAGAGGCGAGAATGGTTCAAGCGGTTCGGCATGCACTCGATCTTTATTCTGATGAACTAAAGGTTTCTCAGACCAATCATAATAAGCTATTTAAATTTAGAAAGCCCAATTCGAAAACCTGGAAATCATTCACGAGGAAGCCAAACGAAGAGGCCTTCACACTTTTCAAAGCCAAGATGCAACAATTGAGAATATCGAGCAAATGAAAGAGAGATTTCTTTCAGGAATTGAGGTAAAACTTGAAAATAAAAAACATTTCTTTGGATCAAAATTGGGTTTAGCCACTCAAAAAAGAGATTGTCGAGCGATTTCGAGTCAGCAACGAGGAGAGGCGAGAAAGGGAAGAACTCGCGAAACTGGTGGAAGAAGGAAAAGCGGAGATTGTGAAGGTACTTATTGTGACTGTCTTTTCATTTTGATGATCAGTTCAGCTTTCAACCCTCGAACAAGTGCTTGGCTTTGTGCAGAATAATGGACTAGAATCATTGCTTGAACGTCTGTTGAAAGGAGTTACTAGTTCAAAACTTCGATTCTCGGTGGAAAAGACGTTGAAAGTACCTGTTTATCGTAAAATTTGCTAATTAAGCTACAGGAAATTTTGCTCAATCATACCACCCATCGGGTTCCATCCCATTTTGAAGATCTGGAATATCAACTGGTTGCGGAATTGAAAAAAGAGATCGAAAATGTTTGATGAGCATTTGCTCAAATTAATCCAACTTCTAGGGATCTTATCAAGAAGTTCCGAGAATCGATCAACTTGAGGGATATGTTTTTTCGAAGCTCAAGAAGATCTCAAAAGAGATCGAGTTGGTGGGACGAGTTGTAGCGTTCACTTCGGATTTTGTTAATATTATTCGAACACGGGCAGAGAATCGTTTTAGAGTTTGGTTGAGCTAACTTTGAAACTATTATTTCTTTTAGGAGGCAATCCGCGAATCTCATGGTGTTCTCGTAAAAAGTTGGGAAAGGCGAGAACAGTTTGAGAAACAGCGAGTTGCAAATGAACAGGTAACACCCAAGATAAAGCAAATTTTCAGTAGATTTAATACCACACTTAATAGGATCTATGCACTTTTTCTGTTCATCTAGTAAACGTTTAGATGCTGGCCGATTTGGAGCAGCAAGAAGCTCAAAGAAAAGCCTATCTTTCTGAACAAGAAAGACAAAATGCTGCTATTGAAGAAGCAGAGCGAAGGGAGAGAAGTTCATCTCGGAATCTCATCGAATTCGATCCTTTCCCTAAAGTTGATGCTAATCAACGAGAACAGGAGGAAAAAGAGAAAGAAATACAAAGGCAACAGCAACAATTCGACCACAAGTGGCTTCTAGAAAAGGTTGGGAGAAATGATTGTGAGTTATTTGTAATTTCATGCTTAGAATCACGAAATGGAGAGGAAAGTCGAAGAAGAAAAGCAAAGATTGCAGAAGGCTGAAAAAGAATTGAGGTTCCTTTCATCAAATATTGTCTTTAGAAATATTTAGATTGCGTCAAATGCAAGATGATCTAATAAGACGAGACAATGAGGCAAGAGAGCGAAAAGAACGGGAGGCAATCGATCGTCGTTGGCAGAATGAGCAGAGGCAGAAGAATCGAGAAATCGAGAATGATATCGAAAGGAGAAAGTTTGAAGAAAATCAAATACTAGAGGTAGGCAACCATTTTCCAATCAAAGAAAATGGAATTTCAGGGTTGGCAAAGTGAACTTCAAGCAGCTAACCTGGAACGTCAGAGGAAAGCCGACTCTCGTCAACAACAAATGAGCGATGCAGAAAAAATGGTAAAAGTAGATAATAATGAGAAATACGAGTATTTAGGAAAGACAATGGGAAAAAGAAGCAGAAGCGCAGCTAAAGATATCTCAAGAAGCTTCAGAGCAAAGAAGGTAATATCATTAACACAAAAAGATTGAACTTATGAAGTCTAGGAAAGAAGAGCAAGATAAAAGAATGGAAAAAGCAAGACTTGAAGGGATAGAACAAGAAAAAGAAATGGCTAGACAACGGGAGTTTGAGCTGAGGAAACGAGAAAGCGAAAAACAAAAACAGCTGGAGATACAAAGAGTGGTTTTTGTTTATGAAATTAGTTGTTAGTTCTGATGTTAACTATTGGGTTGGTGAATTGAAAACTGCCGGACTTTGAACTAAAATTTACTCAACATAAGACCATCAATTTATTCCAAATAATTTCCATTATTATTGACGACTTCTGCCCATTTTACAGGCAATTTGCAGATTCCTCTTTCGTGGTAGGATTTTGGTTTTGAATCGAAAAACTTTTGGAGCCAATTTTTGACTGCTTCTTCCGAATCGAAGTGTTCTCCCGCAAGCTCATTACTCATTACTCCGGAAGAAATAGTAATCAAAAGGAGCGAGGTCCGGACTGTATGGGGATGCGACAAAAGTTTCCAAACAAGGCTATTTATTTTAGAGCAAGTCAGTTTTGCAACAGGAGGGCGCGCGTGGTCGTGGATGAGAACGATCTTTGACTTGGAGGGCCTATTCTTCTTCAGGGATTCATTCACCTTTCCCAACTGTTCACTGTATTTGATTGCATTAACGGTCGCCTCGCTATCCAGCAACTCCCAATACACCACTCCCTCCATATCCCAGAAAACGCAGAGCGCAAACTTCTTTTGGTGCAAATCGGGCCTAGGGTCACTTTCGGGTTTCTCACCTGGCCCCACCCATTGCCACTTCCTCTGAAAGTTCACAGATAAAACCCATTTCTCATCTCCTATCACAATTCGAGAAAGAAAATATTTCCTTTTGTGTTGTGAGAGATGGACGGCACTGATCGAGGCGCGACTTCTAGGGGTTATTGAAGTCATGGGGTACCCAAGCCCCAAGTTTCGATTTAAATCCAAGGGTATAGAGGTGCCTTAGCACTGTAGCATGATCAACCCCTAACTCTTCTCCCAATTCACGCGATGATACCCGATGGTCGTTGGTAATGATTTCGAGTAATTTGGAATCATCCAGTTGGGGTGCCGCTCCACGGCCCTCTGCATCTTTCAAAGATTTGTCCCCAGATCGAAACTTGGCAAACCATACTCTACACGTTCTTTCGGAAGGTGAGTCCTCCCCATATATCTTTTTAATATTAACAGCTGCCAAGCCTGCACTGTGCTCTTGTAGGAACTCATGAAGCATGACATGACGAATATGTTCCGGTGGCAGATTGTCGAGTGCAATAGAAGAAGTGAAGAAAAATATCAAAAAATAAAAAACTGGAAGAATAATTTTTTCGCAATAATTTGAGGAAATGTTGAAGTAACCAAACCCCTTTCAACTGGTTCAATGATGTTGTTTTTTTATCTGCGAGTCCCGAGAAATAGCCGGCAGTTTTCAATTTACCCAATACATTCATTTTCTACATACTGTTCAATGAACAAATTCTAGGAAAGAAAACTACAATACGAACGAGAAGAAGCGCAGAGAAGAAATGAAAGAACAGTTTTAACTCAGGTTTTTGGATGAACAAAAGAAAATGATTGTTTTATAGATGCTACAGCCGACACCAGCACCCCCATTGACACGAGAACAAAAGAATAAAGTTGAAATCGACAAACGAATACAGCAGTTTCAAGGAATGCTTCAAGATATGGTTGCGGTGAGTTGGTTTTTTATTGAATTTATAAGTAGAATTTAACAAAATTTTATTTGCTATTTCCTTTTTCAGCAAAGCCAACTCGACCATCCGTTCACCAAAGAAAAAGCGAGTGTACTGTGGAGACAATTAGAGATCCTTCTCGAGAATGAGCTCGCAGGTTAGCTGATTTTCGAACTTAATGATTGAAGAGAAAAAAATCCCATTCCCAAAATAAGGGTTATAATAGCACGTGAGATTTTTTAATCGGTTAGCAATTTTCTCGTACGGGAAACCCAATTGTAAGCCAATGGATAGCTAACTGGTTATGGTTAACGTTTTAACTCTCTTATTGTAGAAAACGAAGAATTTGAATCATTTAGTTTGCTCATTTTGGAAAATATTGAATACCGGTTAACCGAAATTAACTCTAGTTACAATCGTGAGACTTTACAAGAAATTTTACTGTTTAGAAAAAAATTCCGCTTACTAATCTCCCCTTCTAAGATGTAAAGCGGTTGTGCATCAAACAAAAAAAATTTCTAGAACTTCGAAACACGTTTTACGGAGATTTCTCATATGCAAGGGAAACGCAAATGAAAGACCTGCTCAATGGCGAGTATTCCAAAGTAGTCGGACATGCCGACGACGAGGTCAGTCCTCTGCATGATCGATCCCCTTCCCCTCAACCTGTCTCGCTATTCACTCGTATTCGGCGGTTTTTCAGTGTGTTCCTGAAATCCAAGTTATGCATCCCGATTTGTTGTGTCACTGGTTTCTTAATCCTCTATTTCTGGCCCACGAAATCCCCTAAAAAGTAGACGAGTTAAATTAGCCATAAGCTGTGGGACTTTTTTAGACTTTTAGGTTTTTAAAACAGGGCGATACTTTGTTCAAACATTATAAATTTTCCCTTTAGTATACACTTTTAGTTTTTTATGTTTGAAAGATGATAAACCTTCACATTTAATGGCACATTATCACATGGGTGACTGAATAGACCGAATGCCAAGCCTTCATTACAAACATTGAACTATTCCCCCACCGTCAGACTTACTTCTTCTGTATCCGTATTAACTAATTGTCATTTCAGACTAAATAAACCTTTGCTAATAAATCTATTTTAGTCATTTGAGTGTTTGCAAGCCGAAGTGTGCACAGAGGAGAAAAACACGAGAGAAGTAGTCTATATACACAATAAAAAATGCCAGAATTTTAGAAGGGATGGGTTAGCGCCGCATGGAATTCAATTTGTTTTCGAGTTCGCCAAAAACGACGACAAGGCACTTAAAAGTCGATTGTCTACTAAATAAATATTGAAATTGGTTATTGATTTAGAGACATTTTTACAAGAAAAGCTCCTTTGTTCGATCCAATGAATATAGAAAGCTTTTCTTGATAGGTTTTTATGCAACTTAAGGATAGTGTGCCTACATGTTTCTTGTTAGCTTTTAAAAAATTTTTCCTGTAAAGCACATTGAAAAGTCAAAAGATTCAGTGGTGCAAAGTCTACACCACTCTACATAAATTTGTAAGAAAGTTGTTTTTAGTATGTAAACAATAGAGAGTTTTAAATTGAACTAATTTTAAATTCCTACCCGATAGTTTCTTCACTCTTCCAACTACTCTTCCAACTAGTAAGCGCTGTGAGTTTTTTTTTCAAAAATTCGAATTCTTCTCGTCTTTTCATTCTTTTTCTGCAAAGCTCATGGAGAAGTCGAAAAATTTTTATTGGAATGAAACTCTTTCAAAAAATATCTGATCTCTTCTTCCCTTTTGTCCAAAAATAATGTGGGATTACGGGTACACACTTGCTTAGTCTTATCAGGGCAATAAACTAAAGATCCCAAAGAGATGAGTGGCAAGAATGCGGGAACAAAAATCATTTGCAGAATGGGAGGGAATTGTTAGTGAGGGGCTGGTAAATACACCTGGGGAAGTGAAAAAAATGCGATTTTTTCCTTTTACCATTTTTTCAGTTTTTTCCACTTTGATGATGTATTATGACAAAAATGATCAACTACAAAGTTGTAGCCCATCAATTTTGCTATCGAATGGTATATTGGGTTGCCCGAAAATGTTTTGCTTAGGTACCTCTAGATTAGACCTGTGCTTCGGGTCAGTTTTTATCCGGTTCGGTTCGGGTCAACCGGTTTCCGGTTATCCGGTTTTCTTCCATGATAGCACCTTTGAACAAAGATTAGTGTAATAAGATTTTCTAAACAAAAAATCAACAACAACAAAACGATTTAACAAGAAAAAAGTAAAATGTTCTATTCTCCATCGGAATCAGGCCAGGTTATCTTAGGCGGCTTGGCATCTGCATCATCTTCTTCGACGATTTGCAAGTAGCGTTCACAAGGAATTTTCCATCCATAGCTTTCTTCATTTGATGCTGGCCAAGCGGCCAAGAGTTTCAATGAATCGGCTTTTCGCATAACAAAATGAGCAAACAGTAAAAGTGAGTGAGCATTTCAGGCTTGTCCAAACTCTGTAATTTAGTGATTTCTTAATGATCTACTATATAGTCTGTCTGGGTTTGCTACTCCTCAGCCAGAGAATTCTTGCAATGAATTTTGCGCCGTTGAATACTTCTACAGTACTGTAGTACTTCTCTAATCTTTTTCTCCATCTTTTGTTCTCCAACATCTCGAGTGTCCTGGTTTTTAGTTCTTATCTGCAAAGCTCATTGAGAACTCAAAAAAAAATTTATGCGGGAACGAAATTCTTTCAGAAAATATCTGATTTCTTTGTCCCCTTTGTGCACAAATAACAATGCGGCATTACGGGTACACACTTTCTTCGTCTTATCAGGGCAATAAAGTTCTTTGCAATATTCATAAAGTTCCCAAAGAGCTGGGTGGCAAGAATGCGGGAACAAAAATCATTTGCAGAATCGGTGAAAATGATTTGTGAGGGGCTGGTAAATAAATCTGCATAACTTGAGAGAGTGCTTGCCAAAGTTTAAAGGGATTGAGCTTAAAAACAGGTCTTATTACTGTTGAAGAAGAATAGCAATAATTTAATTATATATGGAAAGCTTTTATTCTATGGATTGGATTGTATCTAAAAACCCTATTTGTTATCATTCGAAAGACTTTAGACTGTGTACGATTAAAAAGGTAAACAAAATGGAAATGGGCAAACACCACAATAGATGTGGATAGTAAGATAAAATCAAATTTGGGTGCTATAGTAGTTCGGGGGGTGGAGCAGTGTACATTCATCTATTGATCTCACTAATTTTTGCTTCTAGGGTTTTTAATGATGTAGATTCTTAGTGTGGTATTTATTTAAGTTTTAATAACTGTTTTCTAGCTATTTCAAGCAGTTACTGAGGCTATAAGCCTCTTAATTCGGTCCCGCACATCTTAACCCAGTGAAAATAGAGTCACTTTTGAAGGCTCGGAATTGTTGCTCAAACTGGCATAAAATTTGGTCAGAATTGTTTATAGATGCTTCAAATAGATTCAGTGCAATTAATTACCCCAGAAAAAGTTTTTAAAACTAGTGGCAAGTTCGAAAAAACCGGTGTTTACAAACTGCCCCCCCCCCCCCCGAACTACTACTATTCAAGTTGCCAATCTAATAATTTCAAAAATACTTTGTTGCTTAGCATCAATCGTTATTGTTTTTGAAAGCCCAGAGAGAGAGATCGATTCCAGCTCTTTTGCTTTGGCTTTTGGTCTCTGAGTAGAGCTTTTTGCGACTTTCAAAACTTAAAATTAGAAAAAAAAGCACCCCAATTTGCAATCTATTAGGTTGGTGGGAAAATAATCGAAATTTGGAACCTCTAACTTCAAGTCCAAAAATAAAAGTCAATAACGAATGAATTGATCCAAAGTAAAAACCATCAGCATCTATACACTGCTGCCAACGCAAAGCAAGTTTTCCAATTCCATCAGAATAGAAATTTGGCGTTCTCGAGTCGATAAACTGCTGGAAAGCGTTTTCGGCCTCACCTTGATTCTTGAACTGTTTATCTTCTAGAAAATGGCACAGATGCTTGAAAAAGTGGAAATCCGTAGGAGAAAGATCTGGTGAGTAAGGTGGGTGACTAAGAATTTCGTAGCCCAGCTCGCTCAATTTTTTGATGGTTTTGGTTGAAATGTGCGGGCGAGCAAGACCGTGAAGCAAGACCGGACCTTTCCGGTTCACCAAACCTGGATCCAAAATTGTTAATTTTGTATGCATTTTTTCTATTTCCAAAATATATTGATCCGAATTCATAGAATTTCCTGTTTTCAAGAAAGAAAAATGTATTATTCCTTTCATGGATCACCAAACAGTAATCATCACCTTTTTTTGATGAATCTCTGGCTTTGCAGTGCGTTTGGGCTTTTCATCTTTGCTGAGCCATTCGGATCTTCCTTTTCTGTTGTCGTATAGGATCCATTTTTTGTCACACGTGACAATCCGATTCAGAAATGAATTTTTTTATTTCGGATTAGAAGCGTCGAGGCGGCTGTCAAACGCTGCAACCTCTGCGAGTCGCTTAATTCGTGCGGGATCCATTGCTCTATCTTCTTTACCTTTCCAATTGATTTCAAATGAGCCAAAATTGTTGAATGATCAACCTGAATGTCCTGTGCGTATTCTCGAGATGTTTTGGTCGAATCTCCTTCCACCAGTTTTTCCAATTCTGCATCGTCAACTCTGGGAGGCCTGCCTTGGCGTTCTTTGTCATGAAACGTCTCATCGCCCAAGTGAAATCGCCGAAACCAAAAAGCGACCATACCATAAGAAACACTTCTCTCGCCAAATGCCCTGCTGATATTACCAGTCGCTTCTGTTGCTGTATGGCCAAGCTTGAACTCGTAGAAAAAAAGTGTCCGAAATTGTTCCTTATCCATGCTCTTAAAACACTCAATTTTTATTCAAAATAAAGACTGATTGTAAAGTAAAAAAAAACATAAAAGAGAAGAATATATATCAATCACAATTAGCTAAAAGTTTAGTATCAATGACGCAAAAGGACTTTTAAAATCAAAGACAAAGTTTGAGTCTTGTTTATTTCGATTATTTTCTCACCAACCTAATAGATTAATTCCTCAAGCTTTTTTTGATTCCTCAAGCAACATCCTTGCCAACCCGAGATACACTGGTGGTCATATGTATTAGTACCCTCTTGCAAAAAATTTTCTCTCAACGATTGCCCCCCTTAAAAGGCAGCCAAATTCAAAGTGCTAAAAAGCATGTTTTTGCTAACAAGCTCTAGTCTCTAAAACCACAAAAAAATTGATTCGAAATGTTTATTATCTTTTTAAAAAATAGCAAGAACAGAAAAGACACCTCAAAAATGGTGGACAAAAGTATTGACACCTTAGCTTTTCCTTTATTTTTTTTTCTTGTTTACATTCATGTTTTAATGACTTTTTAAAATATTTAATTTTAGATGCCGTATCTACCGACTCCAATCAAAGAAAAGATCGTTGAAGGTCGACGAAATGGAATGAAAACAGCAGATTTGGCTGAACAATTTGAATGCAGCGAGAGCACTGTGAAACGACTTTTTAAACAAGCAAAGATTATCGGTTCTCTACACAGAGCTGCAAAATCTGGTCGACATCCATTAACAACAACTGCCGAGGATCGATCGATCATAGGGGAATTCAAAAAGAACCCAAGTCTCACCTCGGCCAGCGGAAGCCGCCTGTATAAATCACAATTCAGCAAATATATTTCAGCAAGGACCGTAAGGAGGCGACTCATCAAAACAAAGTTGTACGCTAGACGACCAATAAAGAAGCCACGTATGACTCCTCGGATTAGGAAACTTCGTTTAGCCTTTGCTCGGAGGTACCAAAGTTGGACAAGTGACGATTGGAGTCGAGTAATTTTCTCTGATGAGACAAAAGTTAATCTCTATCAGTCGGATGGACCTCCATTGATCAGGCGACCGATTGGAAAGCGGCTATTACTCAAGTATATCAAACCCACGGTTCGATTTGGGGGTGGAAATATTATGTGCTGGGGTAAGAATTTCTATAGTTTTCTTCGTATAACTGTCAACTTACAGGAGCGATGGCAAGAAATGTGGTCGGTCCACTTGAGATGATCAATTCAACCATGAAGTCTCAGCGATACATGGGAATACTTGAGCAACGTTTACTTCCATTTGCGAGCAAAACATTACCTCAAGGATGGTTGTACTACCAGGACAACTCGCCAGTTCACACAAGCAAACTTATGATGGGACCTGTCGGAAGACTCTCGAATGGAGGACGGGTACGATTTCCGGGCTGGTTTGCGATTAATGGTGTTTCTTTGATTAAAGCACCTCCCTTTTCACCAGATTTGAACGTTATCGAGAATCTATGGTCGATTGTGAAAGCGAAATTGAAGGAGAAACACTTTTCGCCCAAAGTCGAGCTTTGGCTCTATCTACATCTTGTATGGAATCAAATTGGATCATCAGTTTTGCACAATTTGGTCGACTCGATGCCCAGACGGATAGAAAAAGTCATTCAAGCCAAAGGAGGGCCAATAGACTATTAAATTTACTGTTGTTTTTGCAAGGTGTCAATACTTTTGTCCACCATTTTTGAGGTGTCTTTTCCGTTCTTGCTATTTTTTAAAAAGATAATAAACATTTCGAATCAATTTTTTTGTGGTTTTAGAGACTAGAGCTTGTTAGCAAAAACATGCTTTTTAGCACTTTGAATTTGGCTGCCTTTTAAGGGGGGGCAATCGTTGAGAGAAAATTTTTTGCAAGAGGGTACTAATACATATGACCACCAGTGTATTCGGTTCAGGCGGCTTACGTAAATGTTATTCCAATCGATGTCCATTCACAATGCAAAGACGGATATTTCTTTGCAAACATCGCCTCGTTGTGTTTTTCGGAATCTACGCCTAAAACTACTCCAGAAAAAGTGATTTTGAAGAGAAAAAGTGAACCCCCCCCCCCCCCCCCCCCAACCTTAATAGCGCCATTTTGTGTTACAACGAGCACATAGAATCAAAGCAATAGCCGTACAACCTACAATCTACAATCGTCAAACCGATCGCCCCTCACGATTCCCATAGAATTGTCCACTCGTCTCCCCATTTCCCTTTCTTTTCACTGTTTGCGCTCATCGTCATTTGGTCATCATTGTCCTGTCTGTTTTCGAATTTTTAATGAAACCGTTTTCGTTTTAAATTGTTATATTATGTAAGAGAAAACTTTTTACAATTTTATAATCTTTAATGAAATTCACCGCTCTTAATGTTTCTTTGTTGTTTGAGTAGAATCTGGAAAAGTCGAGGCTTTGAGTGAGTCATCGATTTCGTAATCCTTTGTTGGCTATATAACGATGCGAAATTTCAGTATTTGAGCAGATTTTGAGAAACTTTCAATACAATTATCGTTATTTTGAAAGAATTCAATATTTTGCAGGTTTTGACAAGAAAAGTCTTTATTTTTTTACAATTTCCCACCCCGTTCTTGGTTTCTTTTAGAAATTTGCAAGTTTTTATTTAAATCTTTCCAATCTTTGTTTAATTTCGAGTCTTGTATATTTTTTGCAACAACTGTTGGCCAGTTTTATACAATTCGCTCAATTTTAGAAATGGAACGAATCGGTGACACTTATCGAAGCAAAGTCGACGAACCATCCGAGTATCACCACAGCTTTTTCAGCAATGGGAAGTTATGGCTATTTGGGACAACTTGTAAGTTTTAAAAGCTTTCATTTTGTTGAAAATGAGTTTATTTATTATCTAAAACGTGTCTTTTTAGATGTTTCACAACCCACTTACAACTGGGGAAATCGAGTGACTTTTGGAGGCGGTTATGCGATCGATTTTGACCCGAACACACGAGAATGGGGACAAGCGGTGACGGTGAGTTTGATTTTGATTTGCTAAGTTTTATGACAATGCTGTCCATCAATTTTTGCGTAAAATTGTGTAATCTAAACTAGACATGGACACGATCCATTTATAATGCTTACAATCATAGAAAAAAGTCTTGGAAATTTGAAAATAAGCAATTTTTAGTGTTATTTGTTTGCTTGAGCTTCGGAAACTTTGGAAGAAACTTCCAATAACAGATTTATTCTAAATATGCTCTTGCATCACTAGAAAAAGACCGTTTGCAAAAATCTTGAGTGGGAAGCTCAAAAAAGTGAAAAAATCTAATGGACAAAAGTCTTGGAAATTTAACAGCGTGACACGGACATTTTGAATAACTGCTTGCCTAGAAATGCTGTGGCAATGGTGACATAGACTATACATTTTTAGCTTTCTAATAAGCTATCACATAGCTTATTTGGTTGTGATTAAAAAAGTTAAATATAGATAACATTATTTGTCATCAATTTACACAGCGAAAAGCCATTTTTTGATGTTACCCATATTTAACTTTTTTAATCGCAACCAAATAAGCTTTGTGATAGCTTATTAGAAAGCCAAAAATGTCTAGTTTATAATATTTTCAGTTTGATGCCTTGACTTCCGATGAGAATTGCGGTGAAGCCTTTTTCCAAGCCGATGGTGCGATTTTTCTCTTTCTCTACACGGCTTTTGGCGGTTTTATTCCAAAAGCTCTCTATCGATGGAATGAAAATGAGAGGAAATGGGCAAGCATCCAATTGCAGGTGAGTAAATAATATATACTTTATTTCAATAATAAGGCGTAAAGCGTAACAAAAAGATCCAAAAAAACACAAAAATTTAAATGGCACAGTATGCAATTAGTCGGAAGAAAGGAAAAAACATAATACCATTTACAAATCTAGTAAATTGGATAGTTTGAGCAGAGAAATAGCGGATTTAAACGAGCTTAGAGATGAAAGATTGCGAATTTAATTGGGTAGAGAATTTCACAACGTAACTACTCGATTTATAAAAAAACTTTCACCACTTTTAGACAAAATAAGAAGACGCTTCAAAAGAAGCGTACCCCTTAAAAGCTAAAAATGAGTCAGTAGATATCTAGTTGAGCTAAAACAAACGTTTAGATAGATGCATCAAGCGAGATCCCAGCTGATCCAGATCGTCGAGTGGATGTGAGATCAATCGATGGGAACCCTGGCAGCAAAGACGGATATTTCTTTGTGACCATCGGATCTTCGGATACTTCCGTTCATCATATCGATTTTTCTTCCGGAAAAATTAGCAAGAAGTTTGATGTGAATCCAGAGGCGATGTTGATCCCGGTAAAGCTTTCACAGATAGATTTATTGTTGTTGAAAATACACGGTGGCCGCGAATTATACCGACAACTTTTTGGAAAAGTAGCTGGGAAATGGCTAATTTGTTTCAAAAGTGGCAAGTATTATATAGAAAATTGTACCCCTAATTCTTGGCAACATTTATCTACCAAAAACCTCCCGTTTGGGCTTGTACAACTCATTTAACGAGCTCTTGAAAAAGCGCTAGTCGACATCTCTCCGGCGAATCTGTCATTTGGCCGTTTTTCTCTATTAAAAATTGTTAAGAAAAGCTTTTTAATATTTCTTTAATGCAAAAATAGCGTTTAAAATCACTTAATAACATTAAGAAGACACATAACTGTTTTAGCTGAACTGGCATAACCAAAATTTAAGTTGATATCAAGCTCCTTTTGGAGGGGCAGAGAAAAAGGTGAAAATTGAGTATTTTCGATGAGTTGTATAAAGCCAAAAGGGAGGTTTTTGGTAGATAAATGTTACCGAGAATTAGGGCTAAAATTCTCGATGTAACACTTGCCACCTCTAAAATAAGTTAGGCATTTGCCAGATACTTTTCCAAAAAATTGTCGCTTTAATTCGCGGTCACCTTGTATTTACAAAACTATGCCAATGAATTGCTTTTAGAGAGGGATTCCAGTGAAAGGAGTCGTTTTTGGTGATAAACTCCACGTATTTTACGCTGTGCACGGATGTGGTTTCCGATGGGAACCGGCCAGACTCGTCACTTTGAACCTCGAGAATGGAGAGGGACAGGAAAAACAGGTAAACGACCATGTAAAGATAACTAAACCATGTAAAACAATGCAAATATTCAACTAGATTTTAAAGTTTTACTATATAGATTGAGTCATAGTTGTTACAAATTCAAGTTCAGATCAACGGAGACTTGCCAAGATTCGGCTTTGCGGGAGCTCGAGTGACAGCGCTGAGAAAGAACAACGAATGGCTTCACATTGGGGGTGTGGATAAGCTTAAAAAATATAACTACAAACTCAAAGTACCTATCTAAACATCTACTTTTAATTTTCAGGCTCCATTCAAAAAGGAATGACCGGATCGGAGGCTTCCAGGGATGTTTACAGTGTGAATCTCGGAAATGAGGAACCCGCTTGGGCAAAGCTTCCAGTTGAGGTTCGTAAAGGAGTTTTAGATGCAATTTTCTTTGTGTTGCCAAGTATAAATATAGCAAATTTCTGAAATAGTCACGAGTAGAAAAAAGCTTTCAAAAACTAGGCCCAATTTTCAGGATTCCGACCCCGGTGAGGTGAACTTTGGCTACGATTTCACTGGTGACGCTCTCTACACCGTTGACAAGACTTCGGTCAAGAAATCTCAACTCTAAGTTGTAGTTTTATGCAAATATTGATCAAACTAAACCCAGAGCTTCAAAAGTCTTTATTTTTTACCCTATTTTATCATTTTATCATAATACTTTTCGGGTGGTGAAAGAATTTCTTGTCGTAAAGTTAATAGCTGTGATTATTGGTGACCAATTGGTGAATTTTGGTAATAAATGTTTAAGAATTTAAGTTTCAGATTGTTTTTTTATTAGTTAAGGCATCTATTTTCGAATATAAAGTATTATTAACAAAATGAATGCGAGGAATTTTGGCTAACAGATTCACGACGACGCTATTGTCGTGTCGCTACTGTTTTACAGATCGTTGTCGCTATTGTCGTTACTGTTTTACAGATAATTTGGTGAAGATTCAAAGATAAACTAAACTATTATAGTCTTTCGATAGCCCTGAATCTCCTCTTGAAAACTAATACAAAGTTACCGAGAAATTTCTATGAAATAATTAACAAAAGCTTTAAAAACTTGAGTTGACACGAAAAGTAATCGTCATCAGCACCACTGGTGGATCGTATCGTCGTGAATGTGTTAAATTTGAATGTTAAATGCATTAGAACTTGAATGACACGAAAAAATAAACTTTCATCAATTATAGGAACATCAATTATCAATTAAGATGTTCCTATAAAAAAAGCTTAGCAAATTTTAGCTAAAAGCAATCGCTTTGAAATGTAAAATTTTATAAATACTTTGGAAATAAATTTTTACTATTTTTTTAGTTATTTTAACATCTTAAGTTTCTATAATTAATGAAAGTTTATTCTTTAGTGTCATTCAATTTCTATTACATGCAAAAAAAGATTGTTCAAAAAATGTTGATTCAATAAAAAGCTCCAGCCGCGTCAAGGAGGGTCAAAAAAAGCGTCATTTTTGCTCCTTGTCGACCCTAGTTCTCGTTGTAGAGTTACTTTGGGCATTTTTTCGCTCACCAATATTGATCATGAGATCTATCGAATGAGGTATCACTCAACCCAAATGATCTACAGTGCTTTTCACTAAATGCCTTATGTATATTCCCACGACTTTCCCCTTTTTTCACCAAAAAAAAACTTATTGAACGCTTTTGGCTTTTTCTTTTCCCTTTCACTAGCTGATTTCAAAGGCGTTTGAATGATTGAAGGATTTGATAGACAGTTTACAAAACAAGAAAACTTTGGTATGTTGATGACCCAAGCTGGGGAATTTATGCTGTGATCCCATTAGTTAGTGTTGGTTTTTGAGGGGATGTTGGCGGGATTGGAGGTGGAGGTTGAGGGGCACAAAGGGAGCCACGCTGGAGCTATGATCCGACTGGTCTCAACCAGAAGGGCTCTTCAGTGCTTTTCACTAAATGCTCATTTCGGATCATTCCCTTGTGAGTGTGTGTTGTTTGATGGTTAAATATTGCGTTTAAATTGTAAGAAAATCGATTCAATTCAATCAATTCTTTATCAGAAATCCGGCCGGATTTCTACTCATTTGCTACTTGCCAAAAATTAACCAATCCTCAACTTTGGTTATATTTGACAAACCTCAACAAACAAATAACCGTTTACAATCTCAACAATCGCAATACCGTGTATGTGATTGGTGAGACTGAAGTGAAGAAATTTTCCCTCTGTTGCTCTTTTAGCTAATACTTTTGTTCATAAAACATTTTATTCAAATATACATACAGTTGAACGCAAAGAAATAATCGTTATACCCATTTTTGTGAAGATTTCTGGAATGGTATCGTAAAAGCTTTGTTCTTTGGGTGAGATCACAATCATGCAAAACAAAAGGGTGGTGGTGTAAAAAGAAAGAAATCAAAAGAAGCGCATTAGACCTGTGAGTCACGATTTTCTGCTGACATTACTCGATTCTCCACTATCACGACTATCTCTATGGGGTGAGGGTTGACGGGATGTTGACGGCCCTTCATCGCCACTGTAACTGTCCTGTCTCGTGGGGGATGAGGCCAACGCCAACACTGACTTTCTACGGGGACCAAGGCGAGCCGACAATCGCTCGAGTCGTCCCCATTCCTGAAATTGTCATGAAATGATTAGGTTTACACAAAATCTGCTTTCTTGAGGGATAGAAAGTTCATTAACTATAATATGAAAGCTCATTAACTAAATTGCTTTACTGCAATGAGTACTATAAGGTGAAAGCTCATTAACTATAAGGTTTACTGCAATGAGTACTATAAGGTGAAAGCTCATTAACTATAAGGTTTACTGCAACGAGTACTATAAGGTGAAAGCTCACTAACTATAAGGTTTACTGCAATGAGTACTATAAGGTGAAAGTTCACTAACTATAAGGTTTACTGCAATGAGTACTTTAAAAGTTAACAAATTACCCTAGGTATGGCCGGTATCGGTATCGATAAAGTTTAAGCTATGGTATGAATCGTTTTGTGGACCGTTAACAGGCCTATTTGTACAAAGTTTGCCTATGAAATTGCTGATCTAAAGATCACAAAAGATCTTCTAGTTGTTCAAGAACAGATTTCAACTTTGATAGCCTTACCTCTTGATATGTTTCGTACAACTTCTTCGCATCGGTCGCATAAACGAGTTTTTTTTCGCGGAACTTTCGGGGAACTAAAAAAAAGAGAATGCTGATGAATGATTTTTGAAGAAAATGATTGTTCAAGAAAATGATTTTATCCAGCTGTTTCCCCAATCAGAAGTTCAACTACTGCCTTGAACAAGGTGATCAAAAAGCTTCCACACACTTTATTACAAAGACAGCTCGATTTTTCAGCTAAAGCCCAGATCGAATTTGGACTTACTATAGAGTATTTTAAAACTGAAATTCTGGGAGCATTTCTGCACCTAAACGATCCTGATCAGAGCCACCTAGCTCTCCAAAAGACATTGTAGTGCGCTAGAGGTAAACTGTCATGGCGCTCACCTATTTGAACCTGTTTTCAATAAATAAATCCTTCAAAAAGCCTTTTTAAATTTACACTTTTGCTTCAAGTAACAGTTAAATTGTTATTTTAAACGAATGAAATCCCTCATCAAAATAGAAACGTAAAGTAGTCTTGAAAAACATGCGAAACTCTGTTGTCGTGACGATCTCGTGATCGAGATCCCAGCCAGACACCTTTGTGGGCGAACGCCTATTGTGCGAAATTTAATATGCGTCGCTATCCGTTCAATTCCATTGTGTGCAAGACGAGGCCAACGCCAAAGTTCTATATAAAAGCAATGTGAATGATCTGCCGAGGTGTGCTGTGGAGTCGTTCCTCGATATCTGCACTGATGCCAATTCCGAGTAAAATGGCATCAGTGCAGATATCGAGGAAAGCCAAGACGACAAATATGTATTTGAGCATTTTGAGAAAAATGTGAAGATGTCGAAAGATGGAAGAGTTGTCGTTGCTCTACCATTTCGAGAAGGAGCTCAAGGAGAACTAGGGACAAATTTTCGAGTTGCTTTAAAAGGCTTCACATCTTGTGGGATTCAGCAAGCAGGAATCCGTCTGTGGAGAGTCAATCACATAATCCAAATCGAGCAACAAGAAAAGATCGAAATTGTGAGAAGTGAGAGAACCTCCAAAGGACTCCCAAAGGTCCCTTACTTTGTGTCCCTTCCATGTTGTGAACCAAGATGCAATCAAAAATTTGTCCCTAGTTCTCCTTGAGCTCCTTCTCGAAATGGTAGAGCAACGACAACTCTTCCATCTTTCGACATCTTCACATTTTTCTCAAAATGCTCGAATACATATTTGTCATCTTGGCTTTCCTCGATATCTCCAATCTCAACCACCAATAATCACTACATCTGTGTTGTCTCATGGGCGATTTGCCTCGAATTGGGGTTCTTATGGCAATGGCCGCATTGCAAGGCTTCTTGAAAAGGCTAGAATATCTGATCCGAGTGATTTTCTTATAGAAATGTTCATCAAAATTTCAGCTTCAAAATACCAGAAAACAAGGGAAACTTTGTTTTAGTTTTCATTTAGAAAATTAATCATTTACAAGTGTGCGGAAACTTTTTGATCATCCTGTAATATTTTGGTTGATTCCCAACCCAAATCCCATAAAAAAGCGCATTAATTTTTAAAATAGCATACCCAACAATAAGTGCCTTGTAATATCATCAAGTAATCGTAAAACTCAATTGCCAATCTTTCCAACTCACCTCTATCTTCATCAAAACTTTCCCTCACTCGACTCCGTCGCCGTTTCGGCTCTTCATCTGGGATTTCGATTGTCACATGTTGCAATTCAACTTCATCCATGATATCCGGCGGTTTCATTATCTAATTCTTATTGTTATTTTTATTAGCTGATCATAAATCAGCTTTTTATCAGCTAATCATAAGCCATTTAAAACATAAACATATCTTTGCCAGTGCTCGATATTTTGCATATTAAAAGTTGAAACAAAAACGCCAAGCAAAACAAAAAAAAAACAAAAAACTCAAAAATAAAACTCTTTACATTGTAGAAAACTTTAGCTTGTAGGCGTAAAGTCTTTGGTCTCAGTGTGGAGAGATTCTAGAAATGCTTGAAAATTCGAGAGATTTGAGTACCTGAATATTGTGATTATCCTCTTCAAGCTCTCCGTCATCATCGAAATCCTCCGGCATTTCTAAGCGAATCGATTCGGGAAAAGAGGGTTGAGTCTAAAATCTTTTGACTTTTGCAAATGCTTTAGAAATTAAATTCGATGTCTACCTCTTCTACAGGAGAACAAATATACAAATCGTTCGATAGAGATTGAAATGTCGGATTTCGGATTATCAGATCCGGTTCGATCAGTGAAGGAGCTCTGAAAAGGTTGAAATTGCAATTTATCTGATTAAGATTACTATTCTTGATAAAAATGATCTAGGCTTCTACAAAAACCAATGGAAAAGTTATTGTAAAGCGATAAAACTTCACTATTGCTTTGGTAAGCAACTACAGCTCAACCAAACTCAACCAACTACAGCTCAACTCACTGGCTACATATTGAAGTCTTTGGTGTTTTCTTTGGAGTCGTTTGATTCGTCAATAGCGGGGCTTCTTCTTGCTCTGGACTCTCAGGACTCATTGGTTCACTTCTCGGTTCTGGCTCAATTGGTGGCTCCCTCCTCATCCTCATTAATATCCGGTGGTGGTTCTTTGCCTTCCTGCAATAATTTTGCTGTAAAAATGCTTTATTCAGGCTCATCTCAGGCTCTTCAGGCTCAGCTAAGGCTCTTCAGGCTCAGCTCAGGCTCTTTTTATCTGTATTTGCACGATAAAAAAGATTGCTAATCAGTCATTAAATAATTTCCCAAAAGCAAAATATTTCTGGAGGTATGGGGAATTGAACCCCAGACCTCTCGCATGCTAAGCGAGCGCTCTACCACTGAGCTATACCCCCCAGGTGGCTTTGTGGTAAAGAAAAGAGGGGAAATCTCGCATCCAAATATGCCATTGTCAATTGGCTGGATCGAAAATGGTGTCAATTGAGGGGAAAGTGTTGATATGTTCACTGCAAATCCCCCCAAGACATCATGGGGGTATAGCTCAGTGGTAGAGCGCTCGCTTAGCATGCGAGAGGTCTGGGGTTCAATTCCCCATACCTCCAGAAATATTTTGCTTTTCATTTTTTGATTTTATTTTCATTTTCGCTTCAATTTTATAGTTTCAATGAAACTCAAAATTGAAAAATTCAAATCAATTGCACAAAAATTTTCACCGCAATAGCAATAGTTCGCTCAACAACATTCTCCAAATCCAAAGCATCGATCGCTGACGGATCGATGCCACATTTTTTGCCGACCGCGTGCAGCAAATCTTTCACTTTCATTCTGAAAACGAAGAGAAGTTTAAAAATTGAAATTATAGAATTTTTGGATAAGCTTTCTACAAATTGTAAACGGAAATTTGAAAATGAAAACTGACGCCTTTCCACCAAACCAGATCTTTGTCTGCGCGGCGTCTTTCATCTTTTCCCAAGATAATGCAACTTTTTCATGTACTCCGAGCCAATATCTGAAAATTGATCATAGAATTGATGCTGATGATCTAATAGATCTAGAAATTTGAATAGAAATAGGACTAGATCTAGAAATAGACCGAAAAATAGACCTAGAAATGGATCTAGAAATAGATCTAGAAATAGATCTAGAAATAGATCTAGAAATAGATCTAGAAATAGATTTAGAACTAGATATAGAACTAGATCCAGAAATAGATCTAGCAATAGATCTAGAACTAAATCTATTGGGTTGGGGACTATGACTCGGCGCCGAAAATCAAAAAAATGTCTAAAACTTCTATTCGACTTCGTCAAATAATATGCGTTTGATATCAGTAGAATGGTTAACTAATTCTCTACAAAATGACATTTAAAAGAAAATTCAAACAGCGCCTCCGCTCAAGAAAAAGCCATTTTTTCACAAAAACTACAAACTGTCATCTAGAAAAAACAATTGGTGGGATCTTCCTGCAAATTTGGCAACTTAAGTAATTGAATGTGCTCTATCTTTTTTATATAAACACCAAAGAAGGTTTATGTGAAAGAAACTGTTCAAATGATGAGTCGGGCTCTTTGCCATTTTGACTAGCTGTGTTTGGGAGTCCATAAGCTCCACGAAAGAAAAGCTTTGTGGAATCTCTCAAAAGTCATTTTGTAGAGAAATAGTGGATCCTTTTGATGAAACCAAACGTATATTTAAAGAAGGCTTTATGTGTGCAAAAGTCCCTTTAAAGTTTGGCGCCGAGTCATAGTCCCCAACCCAATAGAAATAGACCTAGAAATAGATCTAGCAATAGATCTAGAAATTTCGACTTACCAATAGCAATGGTTGTGATAGCAAGTCCTAGACAAACGTAGAGGAAAGTGATTGGGAGAAATACCACTCTGAAAAGACTCTTTGAATCACTTTGCTTTTGGTTTTTTTGGTGTATTGTAGCATTAATAAATATCTGAAAATTGTTTTATAACATTTTTAAAACATTTTTATAACATTTATAACATTAGAACCGACTTTGATGGGACGAGTTGCCCGAAATCGATCGCGGTCAAACACAGAAAATTGTAGTAAAGCCCGTTTAGGAAATCGACCTGTAATTGGGCTAGTTTTAAGTCAGATTTTGAAAATCTTGAGGCAAATTTCGAAAATCTGAATAACTGAGCTAAAAATCTCAAAGATTTAACTCTCCAAAGTGTGATAGCAAGTCCTGTAATGACTCACCTGGCCATTCAAAGCTGGCAACAACAGAGCTCCAAGAGCCACATATAACAAGAAGACAATTAACAGAACTAGCGAGGTCACCTGAATTGGTTGTATTCAATTACCTGAATACTTAAATACTTACCGTAAATACTGTAATAGTACCCCACCCCCATAATGACGGTGCGGAGTGTTGCGTAGTCTAGCTTTGAACGAGTCTTTCTCGACACTGGTTTATGCTACAATGCGCGCAAAGGTATCAAAAAATAGCTGAAATTCAGGGCTATTTTTTGATACCAAAAACGAATCTTTTGAAAGTACGGGCGCTTTGAAAAAAAATGAAATACTAAAAAACTTTTGCGACTACGCTTCCCTATAATGACGGTGCGGAGCGTTGCGTAGTCTAGCCCGTTTTTCTCGACACTGGTTTATGCTACAATGCGCGCTTAGGTATCAAAAAATAGCCCTGAATTTCAGCTATTTTTGATACCAAAGACGTATTTTTTGAAAGTACGAGCGCTTTGAAAAAAATGAAATACTAAAAACTACGCGACTACGCGACTACGCGACTGTACGAGGGCGGTGGGGTCCTATTGTAATAGTAAATACTGTACTATTTACGGTAAATACTTAAATACTTGAAAACCTACTTGAATTGAAGATTCTTTATATTCTTCACCACTCAACGAAGCCTTTGACATTCTGCGCCGTTGTCGATACTCTTCGAGCTTAAATCTTCGAGCTTAAATTGTAGAAAATCGACTTGAGCTGCACTAGCTTTTGAATTTCTAATTTCGAGTTCTAATTTCGAGTTCTAATTTCGATTTCTAATTCCGGTTCAAGTTTCTTCTTCAAATTCTTGAAATCTTCAAAGTTTGAATGACTCACCATTCTTCTTGAATCACCGGCAAATTGATTGAGATATTGACCGACATTAGCGATGATGATCATCGTAATCGGAATCCCGCAAATCCCGTAAGCGATGCAGAAAATTCGACCCGCTTGAGTGATTGGGGCTATTCGATTGTAGCCTGAAAACTTTGCAAAACATAGATTGACTCTGATTTAACTCATAAAGGAATGATGTCAGCTCGTGATCGACTCTGAACTGATTAGACCTTATAGAGTCAACCACGCTGATCACTATGCCGTAAAAACTAGCTGCTAACATCCACGCGAACTCAAGATATTTGGCCGAGAAGTTTTGGGATTCCTTTAAAAGGCTTTTTACTAGCCAGTCAAATATCAGGCTGATGGCCTAGTGGATAAGAGAGCGGTATGCAAAGGAAGCTATCGATATTTAGCTTGGGCTCAATTCCTTTCATTAAAGATCAAGGAGCAATGCGAATTCTAAAAAATTCAAAAATTTTAGTCAAGGGAGGAATTGAACCCAAGCAAAAAGCCAATCGCTCGCTCTGTATCCTCTTATCCACTACGCCACCGGCCGACATCTTACTGCCTTTTGAAGCCTTCTTTTGAGGCCTTTTGAAGGAATCGAAAAAGTCCTCGACTCTAGAAGGTCTAATCGATCCCGAATCGAACGGCGTTGGTGAACTGACTTGTCAAGGAAGGGTCAACTGGCTGAGCCAAATGCTAAGCGACCTATACCATTTGGCGCAGAATTTTATGCTGATTCCGAATATAGATTCCGTTTTTGCTAAATGACAATCTGCAGGAGTTATAAGCGTTTAAAGTTTTTTAGGACTCTGAAAAGGTGGTCATTTAGATCTTAAGGGCTTCCTTGCAAGCACCAGCTCGGTGCAGCCGTGACCGAGTGGTACAGCGTCCGTTTCCAGAGCGAGACCGCACAAGTTCCACCCCAGCTTTGAATTTTTCTTTTGCTTTTTTTCAGGAAGTGCTGACTAGTGTTCTTTGTGCGCACAATTGCTAGTACAAGTATTGCAATAGCTAAAAACAGTACAAATGTATTCGTACCGTACACTTCTATTTCATTGTCAGTTATGTTACATTGATGTTATCCTTCATTGATCTTCATTGAGATTGCAATGAAGAGAAATGGTATAGCCTGGTCTCCAGGTAACTCATTGACCTAATTTTACTCATCTAATCGAATCTAATTCGTTCAAAACCGAAATCAATGTTTTTGGACTCACCCAAAGTCGTCACAATTCCAAATCCATACAAAGTGGCCGTCACAAAACTCCACTCCGAGCGCTCATCTTTCTCCGGGGTGAAACAAGGCGATAATCGATAAGCAGTTGCGTTGATCGCTCGCTTGTCTTTATGAGGAAGATGCTCGATCAGCGAGAGTTTCTAAAATTAAGTCATTGTCGTTCTAATGTCGTTTAAGACTCGTCGATACGACTCGTCTAACCTTTTGATGCAATCAATCTTTGTCATTAGCTCCTTGTCTTGATGTTCTCTAAAATTTTGGAATAATTAGAAAATTTGAGCACAAAAACTTTAATGCATCAGCTTCCAATCGATTGAAGATCATTCCACCAGCAAAAGCATAACAAAGAACAAGGAGAAGAAGAGAACAGTGGAGGGTGAAGGGCTTGGCTCTCTGAAATTGGGGTTTTTCTTTAAAAGCGGTTGGATGACATTCATAATTATATCCCTAATAAAACTTCACATTTAAAATATCAGCTCAATTAATTAGTGACCCATGCAGTGTTGCCTTTCAGATTACTAGTAACGATAGATTTCGAGTGTCCCCCACCCCTCTGCTCCCCAAATCCTCCAAGTCCTCCAAGTCCCATCTCCAAGTGCCCCCCAAGTGTTTTCGACGCTTTTTACCCATAACTTTTCGACTTTCGACTGATTTAGTCATCAGTTTATTTCTTAAAACTAATAATTTAATGAATCTGATGATCTATTGGGTTGGTGAATTGAAAACTGCGGGACTTTGAACTATAATTTATTCAACATAAAACCATCAATTCATTCCAAATAATTTCCATTATTATTGACGACTTCTGCCCATTTTACAGGCATTGTGCGGATTCCTCTTTCGTAGTAGGATTTTGGTTTGTGTGTGAGACAAGTGTGAGACTCAAAACTCGAGGACTGGAGATGGAGACTGGAGATCCCCGTTTGAGCACTTTCTTCAAAAGAAACCCATTTTGGTGTCAATAGAAAAGTTGTAGAGAATCAAAAATGAGGCTTATAGCCAAATTTCTAAAAAGATACACTTAGTAGTTTCGCTTAAAATGCAAGTTTTGTTGCAACTTTTGTGAAAATTCGTAAATTTTGCATTTCTTGAAAACCAGTTTTTGAATCGTTCTGAAAATTTGGATATAAGCTTGATTTTTGATTCTCTACAACTTTTCCATTGACACCAAAATGGGTTTCTTTGAAGAAAGTGCTCAAACTGTCACATATGACAATAGCCCGCAGTTTTCAATTCACCAATCCAATACTACAATTGTAAAATAAGTTCTGACAACTCATTTGAATGAATGCAGAATAGTTTTGGTGATATGATGAAGCATACCAGCAGAACAGCAAGAGCAGAACAGCAAAAAAAGTCTCCTCCTAGGGGAACACTTGGGGAGCAAGGAGAGGAGACACTCGAAATGTATACTAGTAACCAAAAATCTATGTAAAGATCAGCAATTAGAGAATTGAATAAAGAAAATACTTATATAAGCTTTAAATTCTCAATGCAAAGTCGAAAATTTTCAGATCTGGACACCTGAAAATTCGTCTCTTTGACTTTGGCCGCCCTGGCCGCTCGAGCCTGTTGTGCTCGCCTAGCTTGAACGCCTCGGAGGTAGAAATTTTCCATTCAGAAGCAAAAAAAAACAATCAAAATGAATTAATCGACATCACGGAATCAAATCGTCGATTCGACGATTCAAATCGACAAACAAGTAGTTTCAGTCGGTGTTGTGGGTGGAAGTCGAGTGGTCGGTCAGTGAGAGAAAGGGGCACGAGTTGGCTTCATCCACACACCCACACTCACACAAAACAAAATTTCCCCGCGGCTTCTTTCCCCGACTTCCCAAATTGGCACACAGCTGAACCCCGTGGCGTGGAAAAGTTTGGAAAAGTAGAGAATTGACTGGTAGCTCTTCATCACTCTCGCAACTTTTGTTCATCAAAGAACAAACAATTTGCAGTAGAAATGGGGTGTACTTTGTAGACTTGTAGTGAAAACATCTGTCAGTCCTTTTTCCCGTCAGCAATCTAAGGTTTTTCGTTTTTTTCTTAGCACCAACCCTTCTATTTTGATTATTTTGACTATCATTCGATGGAGAATAAAATTGCGCGTTGAATGATACCAAAACCGACGCAAAATATGATATCCGTGCAAAGTTATAAGGCAAAAAGTTAAGTCCATAATGGGCAGGACTTAACCTTTTGCCGTTGGCAATTTAGGGTTTCTCTCAGCAATAGCCCTTGACTATATTGACTATCATTCGATGCAGAATTAAATTGCGCGTTGAATGATACCAAAAACAACTCAAAATATAATATTCATGCATAGTTATTGGCTAAAAACCTAAACCTCGCCTATTATGGGCGGGACTTAACCTTTTGCCTCATAACTTTGCATGGATATCATATTTTTGAGTTGGTTTTGGTATCACTCAACGCGCAATTTTATTCTGCATCAAATAATAGTCAAAATAAACAAAATGAAAGGGTTGACGCTGAGAAAAAGACGAAAAACCTTAAGTTGCAAACGGGAAAAGGACTGACAGATGTTTTCGTTACAAGTCTAGTACTTTGTAGTTAAAAATACGGAAAAAAACAATTTCTGACGTAAGAAATCGTTATTTTTCTTGTTATCGTTAGTATTTTTATCAAAAAAGAATAGAAATGAAGTCAGCCAGAGAGTGTGCGTTTCTAGAAAGCTCACGACGATGATAATCCTCAAAAATTTGGCTAGTTTTTGAGGCAAAAGGGATTTCTAAGAGATCAATTTTTGAAGCTAGATATGTCGAAGGAGAAAGAGCAACGTTTAAACAAAAACTGATATTTCAAACCGGACAACAAGGAGTTACCGAGTTTTTTTTTTTCTGTTTTTCCTGCATCCTGCCGCATAGCATTTTTTGTACTGCTCGGCTAGGGTTGTCAAAGTCATTAAAAAGTGTTAAGGTTCTTCTATTCTATGTAAAATTATTTAAGATTTTATGATTAATTCTTGTTTTTCAGCTTAAGTTGATGTATTATCTTAAAAAGCCAAAAAAAAATGCATTAAGAGTAACACTATGTACAGTGGTAGAAAAAACATTGCTTTTCCTTGCAAAAACATTGCAAAAGTCGACACATTTAACAGCGTCGCCATTTGAATTTAGTTTTTTAAATTTGATTGTAGATTAGTGTTCTTAAAAATAAAAAGCAAAGTGTTTTCAATGGCGAAAACTATAAAACATAAATGATTGCCTAAATTGTGCCCGAATAAACTAACTTTAAAGCACTCTTGTAACCGGTTTTTAACTCAACGAAAGTAATAATCTAGTCCCTTGCAATCTCGTTTATATTGTAGGCCAAAAGTACTCAAAAATCCCCTAACTTTCGTCATTGAGTTAAACGAGTTTAAGAACTGTTACGATTCGTTATCGTAACAAGATTTTTAGCTAACAAGTAGCTAAATTCTTAGCTAAGCTAAGACTTAGCCAACTTTAGCTTTTAAACCAATTTTTAACCTTTTAAATCAATCAACACTTATCCAAAAAGTCCCCTTCTTTTCAAAACTCACAGAGTTAAACGCGGAAACGTTTGCCGAGCTGAAAATCGCCATGAAAATGCGGCCGATTTATTGGCCGTGGCCAAAGAAATAAATTCAGCCTTAAGTGTCGCTGCGAATTGGAAGAAATCTCTCAGAAAAATCTCTTCAAGGGAAATGTTCTGGTTGTGTGTGGTGTCTGAAGCAATTGGATAAAAGACATTGACCATTTGAAAGGCAAAAAAAGAAGAAGAAGAAGAAGAAAGGGAAAAGGAAGAAAGGGAAAAGATCTTGGAGACGAACAGAGATTGCGAATGGAAACGAACACAAAGCCATACGTTTTCTTTCCGGAGGAAACGGTGAATGATGCTTTGAACTTTGAGCAGTTTAAAGTAGATTTAGAAGTGCTGGATCTTGTTAGTCAAAGTCAAAGTCAAAGATCGAATACAAGTTGTCATTGTTGTTTTTGGAGTTGTTTAGATTGATTTATGTTGTTATTTGATAGCGGATTGTGAGTTAAACAAGTTCCTTAAAGTCCATTGGTTTGTTAAAAGGGATTCCATTGGTAGAATGAATAAAGTGAATAGCTCCAATTGATTACCAAAAAGTTTTGAATCGACCGGAATCAATGGTAATCTGAGGGAGCCAAATCGGGAGCATACGGCGGATGTGGTAAAACCTCCCATCCTAGATTCTCCAGTTTTTGCTGAGTCATCTTTGCAACGTGAGGTCTAGCGTTGTAATGGATGAATTTTATCTTTGATGTGTCTACTCCTTGACGAATGAGAACTTCGTTGACCCGATCAAGTTGCTGTTTGTAGAGGTCGGATGTGACTGTTTGGCCGGTTTGCAAAAGCTCGAAATACACAAGGACCTTGTTATTCCACCATACTGAGAGCATGACCTTTTTCCCATGAATGTCCGGTTTCACGGTCGGATTTCGCCGTTCTCCTGGTCCCAAATATGCGCGAGATAACGTACTTTTAAATACAGAAAGATATGTTTTAAAAGCTTCTCTCATAACAAAAAGTTTAGCAACGCTTGTTTATATCCGAACAACCTAATGAACACAGAAGGAAAAGTGAACACAGATTTTCTCTAGACAAATTTCTCTGGACTCTTCGAAGCATGAGTACTCTACTGAGTACGTGAGTACTGAGTATTCAAAAGCTCCATTTAACTTTTAAAGTCCTCTTTAGCGGATCAGAGCCTTAATTACACCAATTTCCAATGCGCTCTCATAAAATCTTTTCAAAAACTCACCGCTCGAAATCGATATTGCGATGATTTCACGCGTTGCACCGTTTGATGTGCCCGCATCGTTTAGAGAAAGAAAAACGGGGGAAATCGACGAGGAAAGCGACGAGGAAGACGGCAAAAAAGTGAATGGGTAATTGGTCTCGAATCTTGTCACACCGAAAGCCAGAATTGGTGTGATCAACGCGTGTGTTGCAGTGAAAAGGATTTGGGTGGGGAGGGTAATGGAATCCAATTTCGAGACGATCAAAACGGGAAGAGGAAAAAGAAGAATGCCTCTCACTCGTACCCACAAATAAACTCCGGAATATTTAGTGAATTTGTAGGAAGCGTGTAGTTGGGAGGAGGGGGGCGGGGAAGTAAGAACCCTTCTAGGGCCACCTAGAAGGAAATAATAAAGGAAAAAAACTCAGCTAGGGTGTAGAAAACGAATAATTTCACCGAATTTCACCGAATTCATTAATTTCTTTAGTCATTCTAGTTTGTTGGATCGCTTTTAGAGCTCAATTTCTCAATTTACACTAAGTCCGCTTGCAAAACCTTGCGCTAAACCTTGCACTTGCAAAGCATTTGCACTAAGCCCGCTTGCAATGTAAATTTTTGTTTCTGATTTACCGGCCATCACATATTCAATGAAAAGTTGACTTTATACTTAAAATTTACTAAAAATAAATTGAAATTTGACTTAAAAAGCGTTTTAGATATTTCCGGGTAAAAAGTCAAAAGTTCTTTATCAATTTTCATAGCTGTAAGAACGATGGAAAGTTGAATAAGTGAACTTCGAAGACTTCTGTTCTTTTTCAGAGATCCGTAGTTGCTCTCCACTTAATAGCGCGTCAATAGCTGCTAATAGCGCGTCAATAGCTGCTAATAGCGCGTCAATAGCTGCTAATAGCGCGCCAATAGCTGCTTATAGCTCCTTATAGCTGCTAATAGCGCGCTCTAGCTACTGTACCCCGTCGTCGCGCCAACAAACTATATAAAGAGTATATAAAGGAGGTTTTCCAGTTCACTTTTCACTGAAACAATCAAAAAATTAAACATAAATTTGATTCTTTTATGTTTTCAAAGTATTTATCTTACTTCTTACTTGAGTTACTGATAAGAAAGTTGGGTTTTTCTCAGAAATACGGGTCTTTTGAAAAAATCTGGGTTTTTCTTCGCAATTATAGTCTCCAACAGTGCTCGGTTGCTTCTTATCTATCCGTACTTCAAGTAAGAAGTAAGATAAATACTTTTAAAACATAAAACACTTTCAATTCCAATTCAATTCCAAACATAAACGACGCTCAACTACAACCAAATTCTGAGGTGAAGAGCTCAAAAAAACGACGGGGATTTTCTCTCGTTTGATGAATGATGCTTTGGAGTGAGCAAGAGAGAGAGCGCACAAAATATGGACTTTACGAGTGAGAAATGGCTTTGTCCAAGAGTTGTCACTTTCAGGTTTAAAGCTTTAAGTGAAATCGAATCCCGAAAAAGGTGTTCGCTTTTGTTTACCCGCTTTTAAAGGTTTTTGAAACGCTGGAGAGTGTCGGTTTGTTTTTGGAGTTGGGTTTAGTAGGTTGAATCTAGTTTTCGGCAAAATTTATGATATCATGGCTGATAAATAATGGTTGTTAAATAGCCTTGTCAAAGAAACCACGTGCAGAGATGCTCCAGCCGGGCTCTGACACCTGTAAGCCAGCAAGTTGAAGCCAAAGACTCAGATTTTCCTGCAATCCTTGGTTTCGACCTGGCTTTAGGCAAGGACTTGAGTAAAATCTGGTCTTGCTTCTGGTCTTGCTTCTGGTCTAGCTTCTGGTCTTGCTTCTGCTCATGCTTCTGGTCTAGCTTCTGGTCTAGCTTCTGGTCTTGCTTCTGCTCATGCTTCTGGTCTTGCTTCTGATCTTGCTTCTAATCTAGCTTCTGGTCTTGCTTCTGGTCTAGCTTCTGGTCTAGCTTCTGGTCTTGCTTCTGGTCTTGCTTCTGGTCTAGCTTCTGGTCTAGCTTCTGGTCTTGCTTCTGGTCTTGCTTCTGGTCTAGCTTCTGGTCTTGCTTCTGGTCTTGCTTCTGGTCTAGCTTCTGGTCTAGCTTCTGGTCTTGCTTCTGCTCATGCTTCTGGTCTTGCTTCTGATCTTGCTTCTAATCTAGCTTCTGGTCTTGCTTCTGGTCTAGCTTCTGCTCATGCTTCTGGTCTTGCTTCTGGTCTTGCTTCTGGTCTAGCTTCTGGTCTAGCTTCTGGTCTTGCTTCTGCTCATGCTTCTGGTCTTGCTTCTGATCTTGCTTCTAATCTAGCTTCTGGTCTTGCTTCTGCTCATGCTTCTGGTCTAGCTTCTGGTCTAGCTTCTGGTCTTGCTTCTGCTCATGCTTCTGGTCTTGCTTCTGATCTTGCTTCTAATCTAGCTTCTGGTCTTGCTTCTGGTCTAGCTTCTGGTCTAGCTTCTGGTCTTGCTTCTGGTCTTGCTTCTGGTCTAGCTTCTGGTCTAGCTTCTGGTCTTGCTTCTGCTCATGCTTCTGGTCTAGCTTCTGGTCTAGCTTCTGGTCTTGCTTCTGCTCATGCTTCTGGTCTTGCTTCTGATCTTGCTTCTAATCTAGCTTCTGGTCTTGCTTCTGGTCTAGCTTCTGGTCTAGCTTCTGGTCTTGCTTCTGGTCTTGCTTCTGGTCTAGCTTCTGGTCTTGCTTCTGCTCATGCTTCTGGTCTTGCTTCTGGTCTTGCTTCTGGTCGTGCTTCTGGTCTTGCTAGCAAAGCAAGACCAGAATCCAGAGAAGTCTTTGGTCCAGAGATCCTAATCTTTGGTCCGGAGTTGAAGCCTTGTTTAGCAAGCCAGATCTAGGCCCCAGCAAGGAGTGGAGTAAAGCCGAGACCAAGCTAAGTTAGGCAAAGCAAGACCAGAAGCCATCCCAGCTCCTGACTTTTGTCCTGACCCTGACCAGGGAAAGGGAAAGGTTTTTGGAACTATGGTTATGTTAGAAAACAGTACATAACTTTAATCTTGTACTTTTTGGGTTTAAAAATTTTTTTTACATAAAACAGCTAATTTCAAACTGAAAGCACTAAGATTTGTTAAGATTTAAAAAATTTAAAAAATTTCTCACCACCCAAGAAGAAATAAACGCACTTCCTTGTAATAAACCACCCATTTTTATCAAAATTTAGTATAAAATAATCAATGAAATAGAAATAGAAATAGAAATAGGTTGGAATGAAGAATGGAAGCTTTTTTTGAAAGTTGAAAGACAAAAAGTTAAAGGAAAAAGTTCACTGATGAGCTGTTGTGGGGGATAAGTGGCTGACGATGGTCGTTGAAGAGAAAAACAAAAGAAAACTGCAAATTTGTCTTGACTAACTCGTTAGTGATGCAAATATTAGACTAAAATTGAAAGATGCAAACGAAAGAGAGCCAGCAAAATACAGAAAATCTTAAGGTTTAGCAAATCACAGTTAATGCAAGTGTTGAAGAGTTTTTTAGCTCCAAACAAGTTGATACTTGGGTTTATCATAGCCAAACTATAATATAGTACTGTAATCGTACCGCATCCCCATAATGACGGTGCGGAGTGTTGCGTAGTCTAGCTTTGAACGAGTCTTTCTCGGCACTGGTTTATGCTACAATGCGCGCAAAGGTATCAAAAAATAGCTGAAATTCGGGGCTATTTTTTGATACTAAAGACGGGCGCTTTGAAAGTACGGACGCTTTGAAAGTACGGACGCTTTGAAAGTACGGACGCTTTGAAAGTACGGGTGCTTTGAAAGTACGAGCGCTTTGAAAGTACGGACACTTTGAAAGTACGGACGCTTTGAAAGTACGGACGCTTTGAAAGTACGGACACTTTGAAAGCGCGGACGCTTTGAAAGTACGGACGCTTTGAAAAAAATGCACTACCTAAAACCTAAAAACTTTTGCGACTACGCAACTGTCGAAACACGCTAAAAAAGGTTTTAGTTTGTAAACTTTACTTTCAAACAAAGGATTATTGTTTTTGGCACTTAGCTTAGCTTTTCTCGAAATTGGTTTTTGCATTTGCACTAATATGGCTCAACTTGCACTAATATACTATTGTAAGTCCTGTAATAGTACCTTATTCCTAAATGATGATGCGGAGTGTCGCGTAGTCTAGCTTTGAACGTGTTTTTCTCGACACTGGTTTATGCTACAATGCGCGCAAAGGTATCAAAAAATAGCTGAAATTCGGGGCTATTTTCTGATACCAAAAACGAATCTTTTGAAAGCACGGATGCTTTGAAAAAATAAAATATGAAATAAATATGAAAATCATTCTGTGAAACTGTGAGATTCGATGGATATTGGTCGAAATAAAAATCTTACGTCAAAATCCGGGAGTAGAGCAAGAATCGCTTGAACGATGATGATCATTTTGCAATCTTTTCACAAGTTTCCTTCTCTTCAAGTCATTCTGAAAGCAATTTTCTTAAGATAAAATTACAATTGGGTTTCAAGGAAAATTGAGCGATTGTTAAATTGGGCAAAATTGGAAATTGGGCAGAACGTTGGATCGATCAACAGAAAGAAAAGCACTTTAAGTTTCTTTGGAAAATATTAAAAGCAACTTTGAACAGGAAATGATTAGGAAAATGATTTTTGATTATGGAATATAATGGTTAGAAATATGAATTTTGATCAAAAGAACTGGAAAATTGCCAACAATGGGAATTCAAAAGCGACATTACTTTTTCCTCAACCTAAGATTGGGTTGGTGAATTGAAAACTGCGGGCTATTTTCATATGTGACAGTTTGAGCACTTTCTTGAAAAGAAACCCATTTTGGTGTCAATGGAAAAGTTGTAGAGAATCAAAAATCAAGCTTATATCCAAATTTTCAGAACGATTCAAAAGCTGGGTTTCAAGAAATGCCAAATTTACGAATTTTCACAAAACTTGCAACAAAACTTGCATTTTAAGCCAAACTACTAAGTGTATCTTTTTAGAAATTTGGCTATAAGCCTCATTTTTGATTCTCTACAACTTTTCTATTGACACCAAAATGGGTTTCTTTTGAAGAAAGTGCTCAAACTGGGATCTCCAGTCTCCATCTCCAGTCCTCGATTTTTGAGTCTCACA